TATTTTTTTTAAACCAGGCCACGTACTCAACATGGTCATCTTACATTCAGCAGTTTTGTACTAAAAATACTTCTGTGCAGGAAAGCCCAGCAGAAATTTACATATGCTACAATGTTTTACATGTATTTACATGGCTCTGTCTTCCCTGTGAGAACATCTAACATGTGCCCCAAACTATTAATTGTTATAGGGGAAGCAATTTTAAACCAACCTAAGGAACTACTCCACCTTTTTTTTATAAAAACTGATAAAAACGTGGTTTAGAACTCCTCAGTGCAGTGGGCACGCAAGGATTTGGGGAAGCTTTTTTGGCAGTCACCTGGCAATGCAAGCTCTTTAGTTGGCACTCATGGAGATTCCTGGGAAGCACAGCTGGATCTGCCAGAGGAGTTCTTCCAAACCCTTCCAGAACATTCCAGATGGGAGTCAAGGGCTTGAAATGCTCACACACCACTGCAGGAGTGCCACTAAAGCTCACAGGGACAGGGAAGAGAATCAGCTGTGCCTCCCCCCGCGTGCCCAGATGGAAGTTTCTGCTCTGCAGAGTGTTTAGCAAATCTCACACCAGTCTGAAAAGCAGCAAATAACCTGACTAAAGTTTTCAGTGCGTTTTTTGTTTCAGTTCATGCTGCATTAAGTTAGGTAAAAGGTGGTTTTCTAACAATTCTAAGCCTCAAGTCCAATTTTGGCACACAGTCCCATTTATTCTTAAATACAGTAAATGGTGACTGCTCAGGATTTGATTGATTTTTAAGAAAATATCTATTTCACAGTGAAGTGAACACAGCACTGAACTTTTGAGGTAAAAGATGAAGGGAATGTAAACTTTCACCCCTCTCCAAGTGACTAACTACATGCAGCAAGAACACCTGGTCCTGGCACACCTGGAGTTTGGAATAGAAATGCTCAAATCTGAAACCCTGATAGTCGAAATCGCTTCTAAAAATCACACAAGTTACACCTCAGGCCTGGACTTTCAGTAAGGTTTTGAGCTGAAATGTCATTATTTCTTTATCAGAAGGTTTAAAAGAAACAGGTACCCAGTGGCTTGGTGGCTTAGGCAGAACACTTGGGGAGGGTGGCTCGCTGAACTTGGCTCCAGCATAGTTCTGGTTGCTCTGAGGGGTGAACAACAGGTTGTGATTGGACAGGGCAGGATTCCAGTTGGGATTCTTGGGGAAGTGAACGTTGTTCTTCCCCCCTTTCTGCATGGCCTGCCATGCACCAGGAGAGGAGCTGCAGCCGTGGCCTCCTTCCTTCTTCACGTAGGTTTTCATCTGAGAATTGGGGTCTTTGCTCTTCTGCCTGTTTTTAAGTTGTTGATGGCTCTTGGTGGTATTTCTAGACTGGGGAACAGGAATGTTGTATCTTTCTCCACCACCCATCTTCAACTTAAATGTCACCTGTAAAAATGAGTCAGGTTAAGGCTTTATTACTCTTTTTTTAAAACAAAGTATTTCAGAGAATGCTTAGGTTTTAAGCAAAGGGACAAAAGTCAGCCTAACCAAAACTTGCTCTAAACACACTTCTCTCCTCAGAAAGGTCTAACTGGAGGAACGGGACTGACAAAACCTTGCTCAGAAAATGCAGAGCCAGATTTTATTGGTCAATATTGAATGCTGGAGACATTTAAATTCATCCTGTTAGCAACTAGAGATTGGGCAAAGTTTGCACTGATAAAGCCACTCCCCAGACTTCCTGGGAAGTTTGAGAATTGCTCTGATAAAATGAACTGAAAGCACCTCAAGTGGAGCAGTTTTCATGCAATCCCCAAAGCCTAGCCCAGACTCCAGCACAGCATAGTCAGCATTTCCCTGCTGGCTCTCCTGCAGTTTATTTCCCCTCTCCCACCTGCATTTACCTCTCAGTGGTCTTCTCCGATTCCACACTCTCCAACTCTTGCCCCCTTTCTTGCTTCCAAGCCTGAAAGAAGAGGTGATGCCTTGTGCTGGACTCCTTCCTTTGTCTGGGAATAGAAGTTTTCATGGGCTGATTTGCTGTCTTCAGCCAGGGAGCCGAGCCCAACATCGGATTCTCGGCACAGAAGCTCCAAGGGAGAAGTCCTGCTGCAGAAACGAGAAACAAGTTTCGATTCAGATTATGGAAACAACTGTTTCACTTTGGGGTGGGGAAAAAAGGGCAAGCGAAAATAATGCAGTCAGCTGCTTCTGTTTATAGGTTAAAGATGAGAACATGTTACACACAAAACCCCACCCAGAAAGACACAGCTTTATTTTTCTCTACTTACATAAAGTTCACCACCATACTTAGTATAGCCTAAGTAATAACATTTTGCTCATGCTCTGTCTTACAAAGCTTTTTAACAGACAATCAAGAACTTTATCCCTTTCGTCTCAGTAAAGAAAAAGTAAAGTACAATAGAAAATACTTCGGGAACTGGGACCAATACAGGAGCCGCCCAGAGTGTCCAAACCCTTCCCCAGCCATCACAGAGCTCCATTTGTCGTCTGTCAGCTGTTTCTTTAACCAAGTAATTCCTTAATAACTCTTACACTAATTTCCTGTTTTGGTCATGGCTTGTCTGGGATCCTGAGATTTTAGTCTTGACGCACTCGAGTCTGTTCAGCTCCTGTCACTCTCCAAATCAGCAGCCCCCCATCCCATCCCTCCCAGAGCTCCAGAGGAGCCGCCCATCTCCATTTCCAGCTTCCGCCTTGTTTGGACTGAAACCAAAGGCCGAGATAACGTCACCAGCCCCGGCCCAGCTGCCCTCTGCTCCCACTGGCCGCAGCTCCTTCGCCTCCGAGCTCTGTCCCTTCTCTCAGCGACACCTGGGGGAGCCGGGACCCCCCGTCCCCCCTTCCCCAACAACGGAGCATAACATGGCGGCGGCCGCGCCCGGCCCTTCCCGCACTGCTCCGCCCTTACCGACTTCTGTCCGCTCCGCTCGCCCACAAGCACGGACACACACGCGGCGCTCCGGGAACCGACCCCGCGCTGCTCCGCCGTCACTGTCCGACCCCCGCCCCCAGAGCTCGCACCGCTCCGCTCTGCTCCGCACCGCCCCTCGCTCTCCCTCACAAAATGGCGGCCGCGTCCTGCTCTGTTTAACACCCTCTCCCTCCTCCCCCCTCCGCGGGGCCGCGCGGCCGCAGCCAATGGGAGCGCGCCTCTCGCCCGCTCCGCCAATGGGAGCTAAGCCCCGCCTGTTGCCAGGCTGGCCCGGGGCAGAGCGGCCGCGGCGCGCGGGCGGGCGGGGCCGCCATTTGAATCCCCTCACGGAGCGCAGCGCGGGAGCGGCCGCCGCTCTTTGTCCCGCCCGGGCCGGCCCCGCCGCTCTTTGTCCCGCCCGGGCCGGCCCCGCCGCCGGACACCGCCCGCGGGCTCCCTCGTCCCCTCTCCACAGCCCCCCAGCCCCGCCTCGCCCGCGAATTAGCACAACAAACATCGTAGGGACCGCCCCCGCCAGCTGCTGCTGGGGGCTTCAAAGAGGTGAAATAATCAACAAAAAAAAAAAGGAGAAACGCGCAAGACAGCCAGCTGTGCGAGCGAGAGAAGGGATTCAGCGAACAAAGAGTAAAATCCAGCCCCCCGGAGGTGACCGCAGCGCTCTGATGTCAAATGGATGATCTCGGGTTTGTTGAACCTAACCTGCATTTAGTTAAACTATTTAATGTTTAAATTTAAAGTGTTGAAAACGACATAGAGGGATGTTTCTGGTCAAAAGGCAACGAAAAGATTCCCCAGGTTTAAAACAGCGCTGTGGGTATGCAGACCCCCTGGCAGTGGCTGCAGTTTGTGTTTATATTCACATTCTCTTATTTTGTCTCAAAGGATCATTTTGAAGGAAAAACCCCACAAGATTTGGCCTTTACCATGTGTAGGATGATTAAAAATCAGGTATACATAAGAAATCTGCCCATGTGGGAGTGTTCTCTGCCCACCACTGAGAGGCCAGTCTAACACTGTATGCCACATTAAAGGCTGAAAAAAGAAAGTTTCAAAGAAAATGGAAAAGAACGAGTTCCGTTCCAACCCCACCAAGTCGGGGCAGTACTTAAAAACAACAGATGAACATTCAGAGTTTTTATTTTGAAGGAAAGACCCTGGTTCCATTGAGTTACCCTGCATTTTTAGCTACAGGAGGAGAAAAAATCCTGCTTTTTCCCTAAAACAAAACTGATTTCTTACTGACCTAATGTTACAGGGCTGTGACCCAACCCAGGACAAGGTAAAGATTCTAAAAAGAAGTTTGTATTCATCATGAAGCTATTAAAAAAGCCAGCATATATTTTAATACACAAGATGTGTTGACATACACAAGCCCAGACCTTTGTTCCTATTCTTTATTGTATGTTTGCACAAAGCCAGCTGAAGTTAATTTGTTTTCCTCCCTTTGCTTTGGATTTCTTGGCACAATGTAATGGCTGAGGTCCTTATAGCAGCTTTTTTTGTCTTTAGATGGAAGACAACAATATCTGCTGTAAGCCTGGAAATTCCTCTCATTAATTAACAACTCTCCTACAATGCGCATCAGCAGATTTCTGCTTTGTTTCTATCTCTGGTGTGTTTATTTCTGCTAAAACACAATCTCACCCCTGCGTGTGGATGGATGTTCTCAAGCCAGGACATGTCAGTGGGATTAAGAAACAGCATTTTGCAGGCTGCAAATGTTCTGCTCTCTCATCTGGGGAGCACAACAGCGTGTACTTTTCAGTTCAGAACAAGGATTACACAAGGTCTGGCTGTTTGTCCTCAGTATCATTGAGATAATTAAAGAAACAACTTGTCTTTCAGAGCTGGTTTTGGGGTCAGGCTGACACATTTTGCCTGGGGGAGCAGGAAATGTCAGTGATAAGCCATTCCTGTATTTGTGCAGGAACTGTTCCACTGAAACAAACTGAGTCATTTGGAGGCCAAGCAGGAGCACCAAGGGTATTTTTTAAATCAAAGGGACAAATACCCCAAACACCACAAAGTCCAGCTTGCAAAGTTCTGTGTTTCACCCTTCAGCGGTTAGAGCCCTGGGCAGTGGAAGGCAAGGAGATGTTCCCAGGGCTGTGGAAACCACAACAGACAGAAGCACTTGAGTTCCTGCCATGTCCTAAAGACACAGCACAGACTGAATCCTGAGGTTCTGTCTCAATCCTTTATCATCTCCACCCGAGATTCCTTCAACAGGCGCTACTTCACTCCTTCAAATGCTGATTTTTAAACCCTCTTCCTTTTCTGGATGTAACATTTGTGAGTCCTAAGCATGTGACGCTGCATCGACCTCAGGTACTCATGGGCAGACTGGGATCTTTTAGCTGCCTCCAGGATCATGCTGTGATGTCCTGCAGCCCTGCAGGTGCTGCAGACCCAGTTCAGAGGCAGAGCCCTCAAACACAGTGTTTCCACACCCGCCCTGCTGTGCCACGTGGTGACACAGACTCGGTGACCTCCACTACACCCTCTCATGAGCTGTACACAGCACAGACAGGAGTTTTCTATTGTGCAAGTGTCTGCTCCGTCTGGATTATTCCACTTCCTCCAGGTAGTCCAAAGATGACTGCAATAAAAACCAGCTTCCCTCGTGTTCCCAGGGAGCTGAGTTACCCAAATCCTCCTCAGCTCCCCACCACACTTCTGCTGCCACAGTGACAGCACCTCAAGGATTTCCCCAGCCACCTTTATTCTTCACTCAGCACCTCCACTCCCTCTCACAGCAACCATTAATCCAGCCCAGGGAAGCAGCTCCATCTGTGCTGGCACTGCCACAGCCAGCAAGTGCCAGTGAAGACAAAGCCTCCAGAGCTTCATTAGCCCCAAATTAAGATGCTCCCAGCTGTGGCTGAGATGGATCTCAGTACACACTTGCTCCTGCCCCAGTGTTTCAGTGGAGCTGGTGAGTGTGGATGCTGCAGGAAGTCTGCAGCACGGATGACTCATTTGTTAAATCAATAGTGAACCATTGCCCCAGTTTTACTTCACAGTGACGAGTTTCCGGCAGTGGGTGACTTTCAGTAAACCCAAGATGTTTACTTTTAGTGGCTCCAAGAGTCCCATGACACACTTGAAACTCATTACACGTTTCCACCTAAGCCAAACATTAACCAGATTGTTAATCTAAGTCTCCTCATGAGGAAAACAGTGCATGTTGTCTTTAAAATCTGCATGAAAGCACTGGTATACAGTAATGTTTAGAATATCCTTTATTCTGCCTGGCAGAGGACCTGTGTTCATTAAATAAAGCTCAGGATATTCACAGCAGTGAGCTACAGGAACTGAGCAGACATTTGAACCTCTGCAGGGTAAATAGAGAAGAGGCTCAAGAACCCAAACAATGTGCTACAACTACACACTTTAATCACTTAAATCTCCTTATAAGTATATTGATATAAGCTTTAGGCATTAATTAATTTGATTCCACCAGCACCTGAGTTACACCTGAGGGAACACGAGTTCCCTCCTCTCCACTGCTGGAGCTCGTGAGTGTGAGATCACATCCAGCACTGCACTGTGCATTGGTGTGTGGGGCGTGCACAGCACCCAGCAAACTGCACTAGGAGTGCACTAGTCCAGCTGACAGAGCAGTTAGCCAAACCCTGAGCCTGGGGGGTTTGAAGGGCTTGTGCTGAAGCAGCTTTGTCACAGCTGACAGCTTTTCCCACTCTGGAAAGCAAACACATCCAGGCAGGACTCCTGAGACACACCCTGTTTTCTGCCTCAACAGCTCCCCGTTGGAACCCACACCGGCTCTGAGTCACAGAGCCCTGCAGAAACCTTCAGCCCATGTAAATCAGTGTGCCTGGTTCAGGTCCTGTCAGCCGGGAAAACAGTTTTACCTGAATGCTCCTCCCTCCACAAGAGCAGCAGAGGTGTTTGTGCTGCAGGCCAGGGCACAGGAGAGTCCCTCGGACAAGCCCTGCTTGCTCTCAGGAGCTGTGCTAGACGCAGCAGTAAATCTGAGGGCTTTTTCAGAGCATTTTCTCCAGGAGTGCAGTAGAGAGTCACTCACCGTGGCTCTCTGAGTCACACTTCGTTAAGGTGAGCAGTGCCTGACCTTCAGCCCCATCTGCACCACCCAGTTTTCAAATTCACCGCCAGCAAACACAGCAGTCAGAGGAAGAGGAGCAAATCCCATCATCCCACAGAGCACAGACACCCTTCCAGCAGAGGCTGGTGTCTGAGTGTCCCACAACGTCCTAGCACAGCCCCAGGCTCTTCACTCTGCTCTGGAGACAGAAACTGCTGAGCAGTGCCAGGCTCACAGTCCCTTTCCCCAGCACCTGCACGGCATTGCTTCCACCCTGGGCATGGGGGTGGTCCCAAAGCAGGGTTATTTCAGCAAAAAACCTTTACATTACAGGAATCAGCTCTGATAGTCTTCCTTTAGTCTGGCCGGACAATTTTTGCTATAAATCAGAGACAAAAGCTTCTAAATCTGCTGCCATAATAATATTTCTTTCCTATAACACGTACTCCTGTGACACAACAGTTCTCCCTGCAGACAGAGGAAACGTGGGTCCATGTTCCACAGGATGCTGTGCCAGGGCAGGGAATAATTTGGGGCTGGGTGTTGCTGTGGAACTGAGGACCAGCATTAAGAATCTTTGTTTCTCACCTGCTCTTTACAATCTTGTACCTCCTCCTGCAAATGTCTCAGTTCGGAACGGGAATGGAAGAATTGTTTTGTGAGACAGCTGACAACGCATCATCTCCTGTTCTTACACCACAACCCCTGACGCCTCTCATCGTTATTGCTGTTTCCAGACCCCCTCCCAGCCCGGGAGGGTCGGGCAGGTCCCTGCAGAGCCAGGGAACCCCCTTGTCCCGGCCGGGGGCCAGGAGGAAGCGCTGAGTTCCCAGTTCTGCCTCCTTCCCAAGCTTTCCCCGGCCGCTGTCCGGGTTTCCCTGGAGAGGGCAGCCGAGCACCGCTGAGCTCCGGCGGCTGCTGCGCCACCCCCGAGCCGCGCACGGTGCCCAAGGGGAAGGAGGCAAAGCGGCGTTTGGAGAGGACAGGGTGATGGACAGGATTGGCTCGTGATGCCACCGAATGAGGGAACTGGGATGCCAGCAGGAGGGAAAGTGGAGTTCCCAGCTGGAGAACCCAGTTGCTGGTGCTGGGGTAGGGCTGTGGGGTGGCTCTGTGTGTCAGAGCGGGGTAAGGAGCATCCAAAGGCTGAGGATCATGTCTTTGCTTCACCTCCAAGGCTCCCCACTGCACCCTGTATGGTCTACATCCAACTGCAACGTGACCAGTTCCTTTGGGATTTGGGGCCAGCTTGCCTGTCCCCACTGACCGGTGATACTGTCCCTGGTGTCACCCGGCAGGGAAAGCTGTCCCTGCTTTCCAGCACAACCCAGCCCCCCGCAGCCGTGCCCAGCCCAGGGGGAAGTGGTTACTGGAGGACCACAGCCTCTGCAGCCCCGAGTCCTTCCTGACCACAGGGAATGTGTAGCTGAAGACTTTAAGGCATTTTCCTTCCACCTGAAGAGAGAAAATCACCTCATTCTTCTGGCATGAGCTGACTGTGTACAGAGAAATTCGGGGGTACAGGTGAGGTTTGTGCTGCTCGTGGAGCTGCAGGCACAGACAGCAGATCTCTGAGCTTGCCCTTAGACCTGCACACAACCAGGTACATCCACATCTTTCCACATCTGCCTCCTAGCTTCTTTCCTCCCCATACTTTCCCATGTTCCCAGAGAAATCAGGAGGAGAACCTGAATGTCTCTTACCTCCAACTCTGCCATTACATGGAGAAATGAGAGAGACTGGGAGGATTATTTCAGCGAGCCAGAGGTTTTGGGTGGTTGTAGATGTGGCACGAGCAGGCAGCAGAACACAACACCCAGAGGAGAAGGGAGGAAGGAAAGAAAACCTGACACACATTCTCCAAAAGAATGTGACAGAGAGCAAGGAAGCAGAGCAAGGATTCACACTGATGGATTTCCAACCCAGGGGAATAAACCAGAATGGTTCAACAAACCCAGACGAAACCAGAAGTGCCGTGAGAGGAGAGGGAAGCAGGCACTGTGCACAGCTGCACCAGCTGCCCCGGGAGCCGGAGCAATGGGAAGCCCCGGAGCATCTGTGGGGAGGTGAGTGGTTTGTGTTTGCTGACCCACAGCATCCTGCAGCCCTGGGCCTTTTTTCACACTGGAGCACATCACCCTGAGAGCCCTCGGTGCTGCCATGCACAGGGCAGGCTGGGGACATTCCCGGGATTCACTACCAGCTATTCGGGATAAACTGCAAGGCAATGTGCAGCAGAGGGTGGGAAATCGGTTTTTAGGATGGATTCTTTCTTCAGGAGAAGGTGAAAGGTAAGTGCTTCATAGCAGGTTGTGGGTTAACTGTTTACAGCTGATTTTAGGAATTTTGGATCAGTTGGATCAGTTCATCAGGAACTGGAGTGACAGGACAAGGGGGAACGGGTTCCAAGAAATTCCTCCCTGTGAGGGTGGGGAGGCCCTGGCACAGGCTGCCCCATCCCTGGAAGTGTCCAAAGCCAGGTTGGATGGGGTTTGAAGCAACTTGGGACAGTGGAAGGATGGCACTGGATGGGCTTTAAGGTCCCTTCCAACCCAAAGCATTCTTTGATTCTCTGTCAGAAGTATTTCCAAATGCCTCACAGGGATGTGATGCTGAGTTCAGTGCTTATGATGGTTTTGGTGCAGTGACAGCAGCTCTGGCTTGCCCTGCTTTGTACCCAAACTGGCACTTGCAGCTGCTCTGCGCCCAGCCATGCCTGGGGCTGGAATTCCTGAGGAGGTGAAGATGCTGCTCTTGGAAAGGGGGTTTCTACCCTGGAAGTGGGACTTGTCCCATGGAGGATGCTGCTGGTCAGCTCTCCCCCAGGAACCAGGTATGGGCTGGCACTTTTCCCAGGAGCTAAGCCAGGCAGGGGGCAGAGGCCATGGACAAACAAACCCATCTGACAAGAGGAAAATGTCCCCAGGGCAGGAAAAAACAGCTTTGGGGCCAAAAAGCAAAAAAACAAGGGACAAGCAGTGCAAGGAGAGGAGCTCTTGGCACTGCCTGTGTTTTCATGCTTGTGCAGAAGAGACCTTTAGCTGGAGCATGAACCTTGTGCTTCTCTCATGGACACAGGAGCTGCAAGGAGGGTCTGGGGGAGCAGAGATCTGTCCTTGTCATTCACCCTGAGACAGAATATGTGGGAAAGGAAGACTGGGGCTGGCTGATTGCTGTGAGCCCAGCACAGGACTTTATCTGATTTTTTTCAGCTTAGCGGAGAGAGCTGGGCCAGGACAGGCGGCACAGGAATTATTTTAACATTATAAGCAGATTCTCTCCCCAAGCAGTATAACATCAGGGATGGCATTTTGCTGCCTTCACTCCCTTGCCTGGTGTTCAGTGGTTTCCAGGCTCCTAAGGATGTTAGTTGGATATTGCACAACTGCAGGTTTGAGGATTTATGATTGTCCTGGGAATGCTGGCTTCAGGTAATGGATGCCAAGGTGATGCTGGAGGCTGCTTAATGAAGAAATGTCTTGGTTTGGATGCTGGGGAGGTTTGGAAACTTGAGGCAATTGCTGCTTCAGTGCTCCCTGGTGAGCCCTGCTATATGAGAAGTCCATCTGTCTGCTAAATCCATCTCTCTCCAGAGGAAGGGATGTTGTCAGGTTTAATAACAGCAGCTGGTAATTCCTGCTGCCTGTGTGGTGTTCTTGGGAAGGGCTGCAGGAAAGGAGAGTGCTGAGATCTGAGGGCAGCATCCTGCTCCTGAGTTGTTACCCCGTGCAAGAGGAGGGCAGCTTGCTGCAACACTCAGCCACACGTCAGCCCAAAGTCCAGGATTCCTCCAGCCTGGAATACCAAGAAATCCCAATCAGGATTGCTCTCCTCTGCCTGTAACCTGCACTGAACTCCCTGCAGCCACCAATGTCCCAGCCCTGACAGGCAGCAGGAATCAAATGTGGGGCTGGGGCTCTTCTCTGTCACCTCCTGGGCAGCCTCTTGAGTCATTGGGGGTATTTTGCAAGTCCTGAAACACAGGAAGAGAGATGGGTGTCAGTGGAGATGAGTGGGGAAGGAAGTCCTCAAGACACTTATAAACCCCATGATTTATAAACCCATCTCTGCTGAGATGTCACGGACAGAGGTTTGTTGGGCAGTGCTGGCTGTTGTCACCTCCAGCAGCAGCTGCATTTCACACAGCAGGCAGGGGAGCCACAGGTTGGCTGGAGGGGTACAGGTGGCTGGAGCCCACAGCCCTGCCCCTGCTCTGTGCCTGTCACACACCCTGGCCATGGCTCGTGTGTTTGGGACATTTCCTCTTTCACAAGAGAGCCAAGGGCAGGGAGGGACAGTGACTTGTTTGTTCTGGGGGAAAGGGAACTCTGTCAGCTCAGTGCTGTCCTCCAGCAGAGGGAATTTGCGATCCCATTGCCCGTATGAGGCATCCTGGGAGCTTTTGGGAAGGGGGGTCCTGCTCCATGGGCTTGGGCAGAACATTCTGTAATCCAGGCAGGATTGGGGTATCCCACAGCTGCCTCTTCACCTCCTCTCTAACCCAGTCCAGGATGACCTTGTTCCCTGAAATCCAAGGCTGCACAACTTGGTTTAAACACCAGTGCAATCCACAGAAAGAAGGGGAGAAAATAACACCTGAAGGGCAGGTTATGAAGATGAAGGGGGTTAAATGCATTGAGCTACAGAACTGCAGAGAAAAACCCAGCTCTTGCTGCAGAGTGCACAGCATCTGCCCTGTGTAAAATCAGGCATTTCCCTCCATCACATCTCTGCTGATGCTAAAAGTATTGATAAAATTAACCTAATTCTGGGTATGGACAGGGGTTCTTAGGCTCTTGTGGTCTCAGTCCTGCATGTCCCCATTTGTATGTCCAACCTGTACTCTAATATCGATCTCTAATTGATCTCTACTAATATCTGTTAATCACTCTGACCATGGCACACGGAAGATGGAGGGGGAAACACAACTGCAATGAGCTTTGTAAAGCTGCAATGGGCCAGCTTAAATATAAAAGCAGTCTTGTTGTTTTATATGTTCAAGCAGCTTTGATGAGGAATAAATCCTTCAGAATGCACTTTGTGTTCCCAGATGAGCTGCACCGAGTCCCTGGTAGGGCAATATCTCCCATCCTCCTCCATCCAGCCACGTCCCAGGGCAGCTGCAGGAGGAGAGGTTGTCCTGCAGGGCCTGTGTCTGCCAGTGGCTGTCCCCATCAGCAGTCCCTTCCAGTGCTGCTGGCCCTGAGCACTGAACCCTGGAGGAGTGCAAGAGCTGACTCAGGATTTGTACAATTCTCAGCGTTGCTGCTTCCCTCTTGTGGCGAGGAACCAGCCTGGGAGACACGGGTGGTACATCCAGGGTGGCCCTGGGCTGTGGGAAATGGGTCTGGGAAATGGGACAAAGCCTGGGAAGAGCATGGAAGTTGGCCTCAGCATTTGGGCTGTGGACCTGAAAGCAGCTCTGTGCGGGCTGATTTCATTTTGCTTGCTTCCCTCTAAAGGGAAGGAAGTCTGGGCTGAATTTATTGCTTGTTAAGTCCTCTTCACCTCCACCTTTTTCAGAGCATTTGAAGAAATGGAGAAGGAAGCAGAAGGCCCTCTGTGAGCTCCCAGCTCCAGGTAACCAGCATGGATACTTGCAGGATACCTGCAAACGCCTCCAAGTGCAGTGGGACCACCATGCAGTGCTTCATGGTGCTCAGTACGCAGGCACAGAAGATAAGCATTGGCATCCTGTGTGGCCTCTTTGGGACAATGTGTGTTTTTGAGAACTCCCTGGTGCTCTACCTGATTTTCTCATCCCCTGGGACCAGGAAGAAACCTTCCTACCTCTTCATCGGCAGCCTGGCCCTGGCTGACATTCTGGCCAGCATCATCTTTGTCTGCAGCTTCGTGAACTTCCACGTGTTCAACGAGGCTGGTTTCTCCAAGGAGGTGTTCCTGCTGCAGCTGGGAGGGGTGAACACGTCCTTCTCGGCCTCCCTCAGCAGCCTGCTGCTCACAGCCCTGGACCGCTACATCTCCATCAGCCGGCCCTCGGAGTACAAGCTCCTGATGACCAGGAGAAGAGCCTGGACAGCCCTGGCAGCGCTCTGGGTGACCTGTGCCACCATTGCCTGCCTGCCCCTGCTGGGCTGGAACTGCTGCGTGCTGGATTCCACCTGCTCCGAGCTGTTCCCCTTTGTGGATGACAATTACCTGTCAGGCTGGATCTGCTTCGTCGTGGTCCTGCTGGGCTGCATCGTCTGCGCCTACGCCCACGTGCTCTGGAGGGCTCGCCAGCACGTGGCCTACATGGAGAAGCATCAGGCACAGGCAGGGAAGCAAAACACCCGGATGAGGATGGACGTGATGCTGGCCAAGACCCTGGTCATGGTGCTGGCTGTCCTCATGCTCTGCTGGTCCCCCGTGCTCGTGCTGATGATCTACAGCATCTTCGGCAGGCTGAGCGATCACCTGCGCAAGGTGTTCGCCTTCTGCAGCACCCTCTGCCTGCTCAACTCCATGGTGAACCCCATCATTTACGCCCTGAGGAGCAAGGAGCTGTTCTCCTCCCTGAGGAGGGTGTTCTCCCACTTCAGGAGGCAGCTGAAGGCCGCTGAGGAGAGCCCAGAAGCAGAGAGCACCCACAAGTCCTCCGTGATAGAGACCATCTGCAAGGACACGTGCACCATGTAGGGAGGCACAGGTGGGAAATCCACCCACTCAGCCTGGAAGAAACAGTCTGGATCACTTTTTATTTTCTTTTCTGATAGGAGTTAAAGGATCAGCTGTGATGTGGAGACAACTCCTGCTGATGTCACCCTTTGATGCTGGGACATGAAGTGCACAGACTTTGCTCTCAGCCACAGGCTGGGATTGTTGGAGTGTCCTGTGCAGGGCCAGGACTGGATGATCCTTGGGGTGTCCCTTCCAGCTCAGGATATTCCGTGATTCTGTGATAATCTCCCACCAGGGGAGGTTCAGGTTGAACATCAGCAGGAATTTCTTCATGGAAAAGGTAGTCAGGCTTTGGAAGGGGCTGCCCAGGGAGATTTGGAGTCGCCATCCCTGCAGGTGCCACCTGGATGTGGCACTCAGTGCTCTGGGCTGGTGACAAAGTGGGGACTGGGCACAGCTTGGACTCGATGGTCTGGGAGGGCTTTTCCAGCCTCTCACTTCGGCTTAAGGACTTGGCCAGAGCTGGGGCAGACAGGACCTTGCAGGCAGCACATCTCTTCCAGCAGATTTCGGGAGAACTGACTGAACCACACGGGTGTTTGTTGGATGTTATGTGACTAAACATATAAGCCATTTTCCAGGCTTTTCTTCCTTTTCTTTCTTGGTGTACGAAGTTCTCCAGGTGACAAGTTTAAGCACAAACTGGGGCAGATACTTTGAGCATGAGGAACTTGATTTGGGTTGTTTTTTTGCAAATTACGCAAAAGCAGCACTTTTAGCTAATGGACAATGAAGTGTGACAGGGCCCTTCACCAGTGACCTGGAGCAGGTGGGGTCCTGCCAGCATCCAAAATGATGGGGCATGGCCACGAGGCCCTTGCACTCTGCCCTGTGTCCCAGAGGATGCACTGCCCAGGCTCCCCAGGGAATGGGCATGGCCCCAAGGCTGCCAGAGCTCCAGGAGCCTTTGGACACTGCTCCAGGGATGCACAGGGTGGATGGCTGGCATTATTCCTTGATGTCCCTCCATCCCTCCCTATATTCCCCGATGGTTGGGGCTATCCTGATGTCCCTCCATCCATTCCCAGGATATTCTCCGATGTTTGGGGCTATTCCTCCATCCCTCTCGGGCTATTCCCCGATGCCTGGGGCTATCCCGATGCCCTCCATCCCTCCCGGGCTATTCCCCGCCGTGCCGCGGGCAGCGGCCGGGCCGCAGTCTCGAACCCGCGGCCCCGGGAGCCGCGGCGCTGTGACGCGAGGCGGCCATGGCGGCGCTGGCGCTGCTCAGCGCGGCGGCCGCGCTGGGCCCGGGCCTGGCCTCGCCCCGCTACCGCCCGGACTGGGCCAGCCTGGACGCGCGGCCGCTGCCCGCCTGGTTCGACCGGGCCAAGGTGGGGGTGTTCGTGCACTGGGGGGTGTTCTCCGTGCCGGCCTGGGGCTCCGAGTGGTTCTGGTGGCACTGGCAGGGCCAGCACGATGCCGCCTACGAGCGCTTCGTGCGCCGCCGCTTCCCGCCCGGCACCACCTACGCCGAGTTCGCGCCCCGTTTCACCGCGCACGACTTCCAGCCCCGAGAGTGGGCACGGCTCTTCCAGCGGGCCGGGGCCAGGTCAGCGCCGGGGTGGCCGGAGCTGGGGTCCCTGAGGGGATGAGGGGTCCCTGAGGGGATGAGTGCTGTGGGCAGGGGTCTCTGAGGGGATGAGGGGTTCCTGAGGGGATGAGGGGTCCCTGAGGGGATGGGGGTCCCTGAGGGGATGGGGGTCCCTGAGGGGATGGGGGTTCCCTGAGGGGATGAGGGGTCCCTGAGGGGATGAGTGCCATGGCCAGGGGATGGATGGTGGGTCTCAGAGTCCCTGAGCGGATGGAGGAGCCACTTCTGTGAGGGAATCTGTGAGGCAGTGGAGGCCCCTGGTCACTGAGCAGATAGAAGAACGTTTGGGAGTCCCAGAGGGAATGAGGGGAAGGTCTGGGGGTCCCTGAGGGGATGGAAAAGCTTGGGAAGCATATGGGGCTGTTCCCAAGATGATGCAGGGGTCTCTGAGGGGATGGAAGGGGAAAATCCAGGGATTCCTGAGGGATTTGGGGTCCCTGAACAGTGCTGGACATCCCTGAGGGGTCATGCCCAGGGTGCTGAGGAGATGACAGGTCTTGCTCCTTGCTAAATATTTGCTGTTCATTTTCCCAGCATTAAAACCCACTAAAACCCTCTCTTATTCTTGTACTTGCTTCTAAATCCAAAGGATAGTGCCAGAGGGCTCCTCACAGCATGGTTATCCAGTGCCTTGCTGTTATAGTGACTGGTATGCAGTGGGGGTGGGGAATATCTCAGCTGTTCCTTTGCCATCCCAACCTTTTCTCCTCTCAGATACGTGGTCCTGACCACCAAGCACCACGAGGGCTTCACCAACTGGGGGTCACCAGTGTCCTGGAACTGGAATTCTGTGGATACAGGGCCCCACCGGGACCTGGTGGGAGAGCTGGGAGAAGCCCTCAGGGAGAGGTACGGCCCTGGCAGAGAGTTCTGCTTTGAGAGCAGTGAATCCTCCTGCTCTGCTTGACAAACACCCGAGTTCAGTGTGAAAAATGGAGTGCTTGCAAATGATGGAAAGTAATAAAGCCAGTAATTTAATTTCCACTGCTTCTTAATCCCCACTGAAGCCTAACTCTTCCCTCTGTGTTTTGTCCTTCAGCAACCTCCGTTATGGGCTGTACCACTCGCTGATGGAGTGGTTTAACCCTCTCTACCTCGCTGACAAACAAAATGACTTCAAGACCCAGAGCTTCGTTTTAAAGAAGACGATGCCAGAACTTTATGACCTTGTGTTAAAGTAAGAGCCACAACCAGTTCAGAATCACCAGCATTTCCTGGTTTCAGTTCTGTGGAGAAAGGTGCAAAGTGGGTGCAAAGAAGAGAAATACCAATTTTTGCCAATCCAAATTCTCTTTACTAAGCAGTAATGATCTGTGGTAATTAGAAAAGGGGTTCACTTTTGACCTGTAGAAGGTCTAATCTAATGTAGAATAAGGCAGGGACAAATTTTTCCTGCAAAAGCAATTCCCTTTAATCCTATCTTTGTGCAGGTTGGCTGGAGGTGGAACAAACTGTTCAGTATTTAGTAGAATAGAAAATTGTTTTCAGTGTGAATTTGCATCCTTGCCTTGCTTCCCCTTGCTGACAAAAATAAAAGGGTTGGGCTTGTGGCTCGTGTCCCAGCTCAAGAGTGTCCCTCATAATCACTTTTGAGGTGCCAAATTCTGGGTTTTTTGGAATAACTGCACCCTCTCTTGAGCTGTGGATCAACACCTTGTTCTTTGCTGCCTCAAGAACCTTCCTTAGAGCTTTGTGTGCAGCAGAAAACGAAGCAAAAACCTCCTGGTGATGCCAGGCAGTGGGAAGGAGAAGCAGAACGACCCCTGCACCCAAGAAACACAGTGTGGCAGGAGCAGATAAGCCTTTTTGAAACAACATCTCTCTCCCTTAGATACAAACCAGACCTGATCTGGTCGGATGGGGACTGGGAAGCTCCGGATTCCTACTGGAATTCCACCTCTTTCCTTGCCTGGCTCTATAATGACAGCCCCGTCAAGGTACCGGTGCCTGCTGCCCCTCCTGGCCCTGGGTGGGTGTGGGAGCTGTGGGATGTGTGGTTCTCATGAGGGTTTCCATTACACTGGGAATTTTTAGGGGCTTCCTCAGGGTGGTGGCTGCCAGCTGGACAGCCCAGGAGCAAAAGGATCTGTGCCCTGAGCTGGTTTTCTCCCCTCAGGACACCGTAGTTGTCAACGATCGCTGGGGCCGGGGCTGCTCCTGCCGCCACGGGGGTTTCTACAACTGTGCTGACAAGTACAGGCCAGGCACCCTGCCAGAGCACAAGTGGGAGATGTGCTCCTCCCTGGACAGGCTCTCCTGGGGCTACCGCAGCAACATGAGCCTGCCTGAGGTGATGGATGAAATGAGCATGATTGAGGTGAGAAACCTGAAATCGAAACAGCCTGGGGGAGGATTGCTGGAGTTCCAGTCTTCTGGAGTGTCTGATGAGGATAAAACACTTCAGTTCCTGTGTTGTCTGAGGTGAAGATAATGTCACCTTGCTTTATCTGCCACAGGAGCTGGTGCAGACTGTGAGTTTGGGTGGCAACTACCTCCTCAATGTGGGACCTACAAAAGAAGGGGTGATTGTCCCCATCTTCCAAGAAAGACTCCTGGCCCTTGGCAGGTGGCTGGACACCAATGGGGAGGCGATTTATGAATCCCAGCCTTGGAGGGTGCAGATGGAGAACACCACAGACACAGTCTGGTAAGGGCTCTGCTGCTCAGACCAGCTGAGCTGGTGTTTATTTCTTCTCATTTCCTAAATTTGGAGTCAGGGGAAGTAGGTGACCCTGTGTGGTGACAGAAGGCAAGGCAGTTTTCTTGTGCTGTCTGGAAGGGTCAGGTCTGGTGCCCTTCACCTGCTGAACTCCTTCTCCCTCAGGTACACCTCCAAGGGACCAGTGGTCTTTGCCATCTTCCTGCTCTGGCCTCGGGACAGTGTCCTGCATCTGTCCTCGCCCATTCCATCCCCAGGCACGCAGGTAAGGGACTCAGCACACACTGAGAGCCCCTTTGGGGGCAATCGTGGGCTGGGAAGGGCCAGCCTGATTTGTTCAGGAGCTGGGGAAGTGGGGAGTTGTTGCAGCACCCAGGCTGTTCCCCAGGCTTTGGCTCACGAGGAGTTGGGACAGGAGTTGGCAGGACAGGCTGATGGCTGCCAGGAGGATTCCTGTCCTGGAGTGTTTTGATCCTGTTTTGGAGGGGAGGGAAGCAAACAGCCCCAGAGCAGGAGTGGCTGTCCTGCAGCCCAGCTCCAGCCCAGGTGCAGGGCCCTGCTCGTGGCAGATGTCACCGTGACGCAAATGTTGCAGTGTCCTTTGCTCTGAACAAACAGGGGCAAAGCATCAGCAACAAACAAACCCCAAACAACAAACTGGAGCCTGCTGTGGCCTCAGAACACCCCCTGTGCCCCCCTGTGCCACCTGAGCCACAGCTCAGGACCTGCAGGGCCTCTGGGCTGTGCAGAGGGGGCTCCAGCTGAGTGTCCCCTTCCTTCCTCTGCAGGTGACATTGCTGGGCTTTGCTGGCACGCTGGAGTGGCAGAAGCAGCCAGGGAAAGGGATGCTGATAACCCTGCCCTACATGCTCCCATCTCCTGTCCCTCCTCAGTCTGGCTGGGTGGTGAAGCTCGAGGGTGTGAAGTGATGCCTGTGGGGGTACACAGCATCTCCCACTGCCTCTCTTTTTGATTGAGCCCCAGAGGATTTTTATGTTTCACGTTGAATACATTATTTTTCACTTGAGAGAATCTCTCCTCCAGTCTCTGTAGCCTTGTGTTACTTTGGTGTTGGTTGTAACAGTTGTGATCAGCTGCTTCCATGATAAATAAATCTAATGGGAGCTTGCTGGAAGAGATCTGGAAAAAACATGATACAAATCCATCAACAAACTTTTATTGATACTCTGCTGGAGACAGGTACAACAAAAGCTTTTGTTCTTAGTGAATTGAAGAGACTCCACTGTTGTGAATTGCACTTGTGACTTCTCCTTGCACTCCTGAACTTGGGAACTTCGAGTTTCAGTGAGAGCAGCGTTCCTGCGTGGATGTTGAGCTTCTTAAAAAGGGTCGAACAATGTGTGTGAGTGATGAAACTGCTCCCAGGAGCACGGCTTGCCGTGAAGGCAGGCTGCGTTTTGTTCCTGTCCCAGCAAAACCTGCCAGGACCCTCGGAGCTGAGCTCGAGCAGAGCCCCGGGGCTGGGCCACGCGCGGAGCCGGTGCCGTGGGGGCCGTTCCTGCAGTGACAAACACCCAGCGGCCCCGGCTCCAGAGAACCGGCCGGGAGTGCAGGGACCCGCTGCCAGGAGCGCCGCGCGGCTCCGCTGATGACGCCGTTACAAACAAAAAAACGTGACAAACAGCGACAGCAGAGCCATGGGCTCTTTGCCTCATAACCCCGTGCCACCGGTGACCCCCGGCGCGGAGCGGGGCCCGCGCCAAGACAAACAGCGCCCGTGTTTGCTCAGCGCGCCGGAGCCGCCGCTATAAGTGCGCGGCGGGCGCGGGGCCGGGCAGTGCCGGAGGGAAAGATGCCGCTCTGCGACACGGGCTCCGCGCCGCGGGACGGCGCCTGGGGACAGGTACGGGACGGCTGCGGCCGGCGAGAAGGGACAGAAGGGACACAAGGGACACACACAAGGGACAAGGAGGCGGCCATGTTGGGAGCGCCCACGTGGCCACTGGGGCCACGCCCACGGCAGAGTCACGTGTTGGGGGTGTGCGCGGTCACGTGAGCGCGGCGGACATGGCGGCGGCGCGGCGGCTCCTGCCGCGCTGGGCGGGATCGCTGCGGCCCGTGAGGGACCGGCACCGGGACAGGGCCGGGCAGGAGCGGGGATCGGCACCGGGACAGGGCTGGGCAGGGGGAGCGGGGATCGGCACCGGGACAGGGCCGGGCAGGAGCGGGGATCGGTACCGGGACAGGGTTACATGGGGCTGGGGCAGCGGGGATCGGCACCGGGACAGGGCCGGGCAGGAGCGGGGATCGGCACCGGGACAGGGCCGGGCAGGAGCGGGGATCGGCACCGGGACAGGGCCGGGGGAGCGGGGATCGGCACCGGGACAGGGCCGGGGGAGCGGGATCGGCACCGGGACAGGGCCGGGCAGGAGCGGGGATCGGCACCGGGACAGGGCCGGGGGAGCGGGGATCGGCACCGGGACAGGGCTGCGTGGGGCTCGGGGAGCGGGATCGGCACCGGGACAGGGCCGGGGGAGCGGGGATCGGCACCGGGACAGGGCTGCGTGGGGCTCGGGGAGCGGGATCGGCACCGGGACAGGGCCGGGGGAGCGGGGATCGGCACCGGGACAGGGCCGGGCAGGAGCGGGGATCGGTACCGGGACAGGGCTGGGCAGGAGCGGGGATCGGTACCGGGACAGGGCTGGGGGAGCGGGGACCGGCACCGGGACAGGGTTACATGGGGCTGGGGGAGCGGGATCGGCACCGGGACAGGGCCGGGCAGGAGCGGGGATCGGCACCGGGACAGGGCCGGGCAGGAGCGGGGATCGGTACCGGGACAGGGCTGGGGGAGCGGGGACCGGCACCGGGACAGGGTTACATGGGGCTGGGGGAGCGGGGATCGGCACCGGGACAGGGCCGGGCAGGAGCGGGGATCGGCACCGGGACAGGGCCGGGCAGGAGCGGGGATCGGCACCGGGGCCGGGGCACAGCGGGGCCGGGGCACCGGGGCTCGGCTGACTCTGCTCTCCGTGCCAGGTGAGCTCCGTTGCGGCGGCGAGCGGGGCGTACCCGAAGCGAGTGAAGGTGGTGGAGGTGGGACCCCGCGACGGGCTCCAGAACGAGAAGGTAGCGGCGGGTCCGGCGCCTCCCGGGGGCGTTCTCCACTCAAATCCCCCAAACACCCCCTATGCCCGCCAATGGGGCAGCTTTTCTTTAAACGCTGCTTTTTTGATGTCGAAAATTCACTTCTTTTTAATTTTTTTCTCAGTGGTGGAATAGTCGATTCTGGAAATAGTAATAACAACTTTAGGTCATTTTTCTTTTCTCCTTAGACTCTTGTGCCCACCCCAGTGAAGATCAATTTAATCAACATGCTGTCAGAGACGGGGCTGCAGGTCATAGAGGCCACCAGCTTTGTGTCCCCCAAGTGGGTTCCTCAGGTCAGTGTCAGATTTGCAGTGCTGTGGTCTGAGGGTACAGCACTCCAGTGGTTCTGCTTGCTCCCAAATCCCTGTTGCTGGGCAAGGACCAGCAGAGGAGTTCAAATATCGCAGAGCTTCCCTTTGGACCCTGGCAGGAGCAGAGGTCACACACAGAGCTGTGTGTGCACGTTGGCCTGGCTGGGTGACCCCTGGCCCCTCACAGGCTGCAGCTCTGTTTGCTTGCAGAGCCTCTGATCCCTGCACATGTCTGTTCCCGTCACAAAAAGGAATTTCAGTGCTGGTTTTCTGTCCCAAGTGGCACTTGTGACCCTGACAGAGGTTTGTGGCTTGCTTTGCAGATGGCTGATCACACCGAGGTGATGCAGGGGATCAATAAATTCCCTGGGATCAGTTACCCTGTGCTGACTCCGAACCTCAGGGGCTTCCAGGCAGCGGTAAGGCCTGGGGAAACCTCAGTGGCCTCTCTTTGCAATCCCACCTGACCCTTTGCTCCTGTGGCTTCACCCTTTTCAAGGCAAGCTCAGATGTGTCCTGGTGGTTTTGCTGCAGAATCAGCTGAGGGAAGGATTGGGTTGTTTGGGGGGAAAATCCTCCTCTAAAATGAGAGAGCTGTAGTCAGAGATCACAGAGACATTGAGGTGGAGAAAAGCTCTGAGATCTTCAAGTCTAACTAAGAGAGGCAGATTGATTTAGGGAGGTGTTTTATGGGGCTGGTTTAGACATCCCTAGCAAGAGATGCCACTGAAAGCCTTGAATTAACTCCTGGCAATGAAGTCCTGGAGCTGTGGCTCTGTTTGTCATTTCCCTCACAAGAAAAATCAGCTGGCTTTGATTTAAGAAGTGCTGGGGTAACCTGCTGATCTCAGGGGTCCTGGGCTTGCAGTTTAGGATTTTTTATTTGCAGGTGGCAGCAGGAGCCAAAGAGGTGTCGATCTTTGGGGCAGCATCTGAGCTGTTCACCAGGAAAAACATCAACTGCTCCATCGAGGAGAGCCTGGAGAGGTTTGAAGAGGTCATGAGGGCAGCGAGGGAAGCCAACATTCCTGTCAGGGGGTAAGGAGTTCCTGCTGGAATTCACCCACGTTGCTTCTGGAATGATCCAGAACCAGTTTGGATCAGGTTTTCTTGGCAAACATCCCACATGGAAGTGCACAGATCTCACCCCCTGCAGCCCTCTGGGCTCATCTTGGCCAACTTTACACCCCTGGAAGAAGAAATTGGTGGAATCCTGTAACCTTTGGCCACTAGAATATAAAATTGATTCTCCAGTCTAAAGTCTTGACTGGTTTGTCCAGTAGAATCCCACTGCCCCTTTCCAGCTGAAAGTTTGGGGTTTTTTTTTGACCACAGATACGTTTCCTGTGTCCTTGGATGTCCCTATGAAGGGAAGATTTCTGCAGCTAAAGTTGCAGAGGTGAGTCAGCCACGAATACAACCAGGATTCCTGAGAGGGATTGGATTTATTTTTAGGGATGTGCCAGACCATTTAACCTAAGGGAATATCCAGGTTCTCAGGGATTGAATTCAACTGAAAATGGAGAATTGAGGGAGGCTGGGACATCTGCAGGTTTTTAATCCCAGACAGGAGTGTCCAGGGGAGGAAAGTGCAGCAGGAATCAGCTCTGGGAGGAGGGAAGGAGTGTCCAGGGAGGGAAGGTGCAGCAGGAATCAGCCCTGGGAGGAGGGAAGGAGTGTCCAGGGAATGAAGGTGCAGCAGGAATCAGCTCTGGGAGGAGGGAAGGAGTGTCCAGGGGATGAAGGTGCAGCAGGATCAGCCCTGGGAGGAGGGAAGGAGTGTCCAGGGGATGAAGGTGCAGCCCTGGGAGGGGAGGATGCCCTCTCAGTGCCCCTGCTGGCTCTGGCCCAGGTCTCCAAGAAGATGTACTCCATGGGGTGCTACGAGATCTCCCTGGGGGACACCATCGGCGTGGGCACCCCGGGCAGCATGAGGGAGATGCTGGCCGTGGTGATGAAGGAGGTGCCCGTGGGGGCTCTGGCTGTGCACTGCCACGACACCTATGGCCAGGCCCTGGCCAACATCCTGGTGGCCCTGCAGGTAGGATTCCTGCCCTGAACCACAGACTGGTGCCAGGCTTGGGTGGGGAGCACCTTACAGCCCATCCTGTCCCACCCCTGCCCATCTCCCGCTGCCCCAGGCTGCTCCAAGCCCCATCCAGCCTGGCCTGGGCACTCCCAGGGATGGGGCAGCCACACAGATTGAACAGCTCTCCTTGGGCATTTTGGGAATTGCAGATTTTGTGCTTCCAGAGCAGCTCCTGACGCGGGGTTTGTTTGCAGATGGGGGTGAGCGTGGTGGACGCTTCCGTGGCCGGCCTTGGGGGGTGTCCCTATGCCCAGGGAGCCTCTGGCAACGTGGCCACAGAGGATTTGGTGTACATGCTCAACGGGCTGGGCATCCACACGGTGAGTGGCAGCTCAGGGCTCTGCCCAGGCCTCAGCACAGAGGGCAGTGAGATGGGAAAATATTCCCAGGGAGGGTGGGCAGGCCCTGGCACACGTGCCCAGAGGGGCTGTGGCTGCCCCTGGATCCCTGGCGGGGTGTGGGGCACCCTGGGGTGGTGGGAGATGTCCTCAAGGTGTGTCCTGGGCCTTTCCCATGCAGGGGGTGGATCTCCAGAAGCTGATGGACACAGGCACCTTCATCTGCAATGCCCTGAACAGAAAAAGCAATTCCAAAGTGTCTCAGGCCTCCTGCAGACTGTGACACTGAGTGGGATTTCTCCTTGGATCAAGAAACCGAGGATCCAGCACTGCCTGGGATTCCTCTCTGACCTCCCGAGCTCCTTCCCACCTCAGCATTTGAGAAGCTCCAAATCCACCAGAATTAGGAAGAAATGGGAGAATATCCTGTTACACTGTTCTCTGTTGGACCTTGAGGCTGTCCCCGTGTGCCTTGGAGAGGGGAGGACGTGCAGGGGCAGAGGAGCTGCTGCCTGCAGAGCCCAGGACAGGCTCAGCTCTGCAGTTAGAGCGCAGCTCCAGCTCGGGCTGTGCCTTCCTCCCTTCCCTGCCCTCCACAAACAGCCCAAACCTCCCCTGCTGCTGCGCCCTCAGGGACGTGCTGCTGCACTGCGTATCTGTTCTAAGATACTCAGCACACCAGGAGTGGTAAACACATTATTTAATAGCCTAAACTATGAGAAATTTGATTCAGCTGAAGCAACAACGGAGCTTTTGCTGCTGGTTTGGGTTCCAAGTGCCTCTTGTGGAAGCTCTGCACTGTGGTGGGCAGGGGGGTGAGGAGCTCCTTCCACCCTGAGAGCTCCTCAGGCGCTCAAGTCCTTGGGACCCGCCCCGGCTCTTCTTTGTAAAGTAATTTATTGAACAGTTCAGCTGTGAGACTGGAGAGGAGCGCAGGAACTTTGTCCTTTCGGGGGGCAGGGCGGGTGTGGGGCTGCGTGTGCTCCTCTCCACATGACTTCAATAAACTGTAACAATTACCAAACCTGCGCTAATGAACGCTGCAGAAATGAGGCGGAATGGGGCAACAGTTCGGGGTTTTGAGGCAAGAAATGGGGATTTTGGGGCAGGAAATCAATAATCGGGGCTTGGGGCTCCTCCCGCCGCCAGGGGGCGCTGCGGCAACGGGCTCCCCGCCGTCCCTCGCGGTGTTTTGTCCCCGCTGCCGCCCCGTAGCCCTGACACGTTTCCATGGAGGAGCCGTGCGCGTGGCGCCGGGGAGGGGCGGGGCCAAGGCCCGGCCTTAAAGGGGCCGCGCCCCCGACGGGGCCGAGCGGGAGCGGCGGCAGCGGCGGGTGAGAGACCGGGGAAACCGGGAGGGAACCGGGGGGGAACGGATGCGCTGCGCTGCCCTGCTTCCTTTTGCAGGGACAGCGCAAACCCCCGCGGCTTGGGGCATCCCTGGGCTCCGGAGTGGTTCCGGTCCCCGGTGCGTTCTGCGCCCCGGGACCCTCCGCTCCCTCCCGGTGCTCCTGTCCCCTCCCGGCGCTCCTGTCCCCTCCCGGCGCTCCTGTCCCCTCCCGGCGCTCCTGTCCCCTCCCGGTGTTCCTGTCCCCTCCCGGTGCTCCTGTCCCCTCCCGGTGCTCCTGTCCCCTCCCGGCGCTCCTGTCCCCTCCCGGTGCTCCTGTCCCCTCCCCGGGCCGGAGCGTCCCGCGGGTGCCGCTGCGGTCCCAAAACCCTTCCCGCGGAGCCCCGGCTGGGGAAAGCAGGGAACGGCAGAAGGGCAGAGCTGGTACCCCTGCGGAGACCACCTCCATTAATGAATTAATGAGTTAATTAACACTGCGAACCGCTGCCCTGGGGGATATGGGTGAACCCAGCGCCCGGGCTGGGATTAACAGGACAAACCGGGGCTCGTCTCCGGGATGTGGCACCTCCGTGTCCGGGAGGTGTGACCGGCGCTGCCCCGCCCGTCCCTGGGGCAGCACCGACCTGGCGGCCGCGGTGACGTGACCGGGGCCGTGCCCAGCCCGGGGCTCCGGGCTCCGGGGGGCTCCGGGCCGTGCCCAGCCGGGGCTCAGGGCTCCGGGGGGCTCCGGGCCGTGGCCAGCCGGGGCTCCGGGGCTCGGGGGGGCTCCGGGCCGTGCCCAGCCCGGGGCTCGGGGCTCGGGGCCGTGCCCAGCCGGGGCTCAGGGCTCAGGGCTCCGGGGGGCTCCGGGCCGTGCCCAGCCGGGGCTCAGGGCTCAGGGCTCCGGGGGGTTTCGGGCTGTGTCCAGCCGGGGCTCCGGGCCGTGCCCAGCCGGGGCTCAGGGCTCCGGGCCGTGCCCAGCCCGGGCTCAGGGCTCCCCGCCGTTCCCCCGCAGGGACCATGGCTGAGACCATCCTGGTGACGGGCGGCGCCGGTTACATCGGCAGCCACTGCGTGCTGGAGCTGCTGCAGGCGGGCTACGTGCCCGTGGTCATCGACAACTTCCACAACGCCATCCGAGGTACGGGGAGCCCCGGCCCGGCCCCGACCCCGACCCCGAGCCGGGCCCGGCCCCAGCGCTCCCTCGCTGCCCTCCGTCCCCAGGCTCGGAGGAGCTGCCCGAGAGCCTCCGGCGGGTGCAGGAGATCGCGCAGCGGCCCCTGCTCTTCCAGGAGCTCGACATCACCGACGAGGCCGCGCTCCAGGAGCTCTTCAGGAAGGTGAGAGGCTCCCGGGGTCCCTGGCAGGGGTGGTGGGAGCCAGGGCAGCAGGGAGGGAACGCTCCTGTGGCAGTGGAGCCCCCCGGGCTGGCTGGCCGGAGCTCCCGGGGGAATCCCGGCCGGTTCCTGATGCCCAACCGCTCCCCCTGCAGCACCGTTTCTCGGCCGTGATGCACTTTGCGGGGCTCAAGGCCGTGGGAGAGTCGGTGCAGAAGCCTCTGGAATATTACAGAGTGAACCTCACCGGGACCATCCGGCTGCTGGAGGTGAGAGGGGCTGGCAGCGATCCTGGGCTGTTCCCTCTGCCCTCCCCGTGCCCAGGCCCTGCCCTGGGCCCTGCCAGCGCCCGTGGAGGGCTGGCACAGGGCACAGAGCGGGATCAGTGCTGGCCATTGCCCCTCCCAGACCATGAAGGCCCACGGCGTGAGGAACATCGTGTTCAGCAGCTCCGCCACCGTCTACGGGGACCCCAAGTACCTCCCCCTGGACGAGAAGCACCCGGTCGGGGGCTGCACCAACCCCTACGGCAAATCCAAGTTCTTCATCGAGGAGATGATCCGGGATCTGTGCAGGGCAGAGAGGGTGAGGAGCCGCCCCACGGGGCTGGAGCTCGCTGTGTCCCCAGGGAGGTGACCTGGCCGTGTGTCCCCAGGACTGGAACGCCGTCCTCCTGCGCTACTTCAACCCCATCGGCGCCCACGAGTCGGGGATGATCGGGGAGGATCCTCAGGGCATCCCCAACAACCTCATGCCCTACGTGGCTCAGGTAGCGCCCCCACAGCCCTTGGGGGTCCCGGGGAGGGGACACGGGGTGCTGGGGCTCCATGGGGCTGTCCCTCTGTGCAGGTGGCAGTGGGACGCCGGGAATTCCTGAGCGTCTTTGGGAACGACTACAAGACGGACGATGGAACGGGTGCGTCACGGGCCGGGGGGAGTTTAGGATGCCAAACCCCGGCCCTGCCCTCACCTCTGCGTCCCCACAGGAGTCAGGGATTACATCCACGTCGTGGATCTGGCCAAGGGCCACATCGCTGCGCTGAAGAAGCTCAAGGAGAACTGTGGCTGCAAGGTACCAACCCCAGGGTACTGCCAGCCCAGGGGGGTGTGGGGGTCCCAATGAGGGCTGAAGGGGTGCCTGGCCCTTCAGCCCTTGATCCCTGTCCTTTATTCTCCTCCCAGATCTACAACCTGGGCACAGGCACCGGTTACTCCGTGCTGCAGATGGTCCGGGCCATGGAGAAAGCCTCGGGGAGGGAGGTGAGGGCAGAGCTGCGGGCTCACAGGCACAAGGGCAGCTGGTCCCACAGGCCCCTGCTCCCCCAGCAGCCCTGGCCCTGTTCCTCAGCCCCCTGGAGCCCCCCGAGCCCACGGTGCTGCTCTCCCTGCAGATCAAGTACCGGATCACGGCCCGGCGGGAGGGGGACGTGGCTTCCTGCTATGCTGACCCCGCCCTGGCTGAGCGGGAGCTGGGCTGGAAAGCCGCCTTCGGCCTGGACAAGATGTGTAAGGGCATCCCCTCCCTGGCACAGCGGGCACTGCCAGCCCCTGCCCTCCCTCACCTCCCTCCTCCCGTTCCAGGTGAGGACCTGTGGCGGTGGCAGCTGCAGAACCCCACGGGCTTCAGCAAGAACTGAGCTGTGCCGAGGGCTGCTCTGAGCCAGCCCTGCCTCCTTCCCCGAGGGCTGTCACCATCCTGGGAGGGCACCTCCAGCTCCCCCTCCTGCCTCTGGCACGGGGCAGGAAGGCTGGAGCACCCTCAGCCTCCCCCCCTCCTCATCCTCATCCCCATCCCCCAGGTCTTTGCATCTCACAGAGCAGAACCACAACGAAGGGAGACCAAGGCAGGGCCTGGTGTGGCACCACGGGCACGGAACCCCTCGTGGGAATGCCCAGGGCTGCAGCCAGAGCTGGGGACACTGGAACTCCTGGGCCCTTCCTGTGCCCTGGGCATCCAGCACTGGGACATCAGAGCCCAAACCACAGCAGAGCCCCTGTTCCCTCCTGGCTCGTGGGCTCAGGGGGAGCCCAAGGCACCTCTGCCCCTGCCCTGGCACAAAGAAGGCTCCAGGACCGTCCCACAGGGACCAGTCACATTCCAAGGTTTCCTCCACCCCCCACTTTTCCCTACCCCCAGCATGGTTTTGGGGACCAAATCTCATCTCCCCCCTCTCCTGCTGAGCCGGAGCAGGCCCTGCCCAGGGCTGTGCCAGCCTGGCCTGGCTGCCCACAGCCCCCGCTGGGTGCCTGGTGTGGCCTCCTGTGGCAGCCACTCCCCAAAGCCATTGCCAAAGGCTGCCCAGGACCAGCTCTGCCCCGTCCCACACTGCTCCTATTTATTCCTGGCAGCTCCCAGGGCAGGGATGACGCAGCCGGCCCCGTGTGCTGTCGGCTGGATGAATAACTTATGCTCCTAAATTATGAATTGAGCTTTTGATTTGTTTTTAAAATAAACTTTCCTACTTTCTAAGTGGCAGCTTTGTTCTGCTTCCCCTCAGCCAGAGCTGCTGCCTCTAAAAGTGGCACCCTGGGGCCTCATGGAACCCCATTCCCCCCAAAATCTCCCGTCCTGCCTGGGCAGGGATGATGCCAGCTCAGCTCTGGGATAAATTGAGGATTTATTTCACCTTGATTCTCTGTGGAACGCACGCACACACACAAAAAAAAAAACCCAAACATGTACAAGGAAGACGAGAGAAGAAAAACAACCAAAAAAAAAACCCAAACCAAAAAAAAAAAACAAAACCAAAAAAAAACCAAAAGAAAAACCCCAAAGCTGTACTGAGGAATGGAGAGAAGCCGTTCTCCCTCCCGGGTTTCCAGCACTGCTCGGGCAGGGAGTGAGCAGGAATGCTCTGCAGAGGGGCCCCACGGTGCCCCAGGGATGGTTCCGGGCCCCCCATCACACACGGTTCCAGTTCACAGTCACACGGGTCAGTCTGTCCATCACCAGCCCTTGGTGCCCCAGGGAGCTGCCATCCCACCCCTGCCACCCTCTCATGCCCCCCAGCCAAGCCTGGGGCGTGGGGGCACAGCAGCATTAAAACACAGCATAGAAGAGCTTTCAGACTTATTAAAAGGATCAAAACCTAAAAGCCCAAGCCAAGAGCCCAGCCCAGGTGGGCCCCACGATCCACTCTCCAGAGGGCGGTTATTGCTTTGCACAGCCCGGGCAGGAAGGGCAGGGCTGGAGCAGAACTGCTGGGGCTGAGCCCCCCCACGGCAGGCAGGGGGAGCAAAGTGCTCCCCAGGAATGTGGGGGTGTTTTAAAAGCCATCACCAGCCCCGGGTGGGGGCTCAGCCCGGGGGAAGAGGGGGGTGAGGGCAGAGCTGCTCCACAGCCACTGCCCTGGGCCCTGTGGAGGGGAGGGTCAGCCAGGAGCCCCCCCAGAGGAGACATTCGGGGCCCCGGCACGGTGCCAGCAGTCGGGAGGGGACAAGCCACAGGTGAGGGACACTGGTGATTGTACATGGAGGGGACATGAGCCCCCAGCCCCGGGAGCACAGAGGGTGGGGCACAGCAGCAGCCGGGGCTCAGGTGCTGGTCAGATGATGGTTGGGAGCAAAGCTGCTCCTTCCAGCTGCACCAGGAGCCAAACCCGGGGTCCAGGGCCCTCCCCCTCCCCGAGCCAGCCCGAGTCCAAAGGGAAGGACAAGTAGCAGCAAGAGAAGACATTGAAGACGGGGCCGGTGGCTCCGTGAGTGTAAACGAAGCTTTGGGGCTCCGAGGGCGCAGAGCTGGGCTGGGAGCGGGGGAGATGCCTCTGGGATGGAGATTGTAAAAGCAACAAGAGGAAGAGCAGGGGGAAAGAGGTGATTATCTCAGGAGGGCAGAGCTGCCCCAGGTCCATGGCTGAGGGGAGTGTGCGTGTGTGACAGGCGGGGCCGTGCGGGAGGTGCGGGAGCTGCGCTGACCCTCCCTGCCGGCCCCGGGCAGCCTTTGGCGGTGCCACCCAGGGCAGAGCCTGCCCGGGCACCTGGAGGCGTCCGCAGGGGAGTCCCGGGTTCCTGAGCTCTGACTGAAAACCCGCGGAGGCCGAGAGCGGCCACCGAGGGCAGAGCTCCGAGCCCAGGGGTGCCCCAGCCCCACCCCGCTCCTCCCACCGCAGCCGGGCACGTCCCACCCTAATACTGGTACAAAAACCGCAAACGCGACAGGAGAACCTCACCCGCGCCGTGCCAGCCCCGCGGGGGCCCGAGGGGACGGTGACCATTCCCCGGGAGCCGCTGGGAGCCAGAGCAGGAGAGAAAAGGCCGCTGCCAGGCTGGCCGCAGGCAGCTCCGATGCGGGCAGCGGGAGAGCCGGGCAGCCCCGGCCGGGGGGACGCGGTGCAGGACGCGGGCACGGGTGGGTGTGGCGGGCGGTGCTGGGGGGGCCATGGCTTCCGTTGGCAGCGGGCGGGTCACAGGGACAGACGGGCGGCGCTGACCTCGGCCCCCTCCCCTGCGACAGTCCCGAGGGGCTCGGCTCAGATCCGGGGCAGCAGCTTCTCGATGAACTCCTTCACCGCCATCATCTCCTGCGGGCAGGCACGGCCCGTCACTCCGGGGCTCCCGGTCACACCGGGGCTCCCGCGGGCCGGGCTGAGCCCCGGCAGCAGCCCCCGAGGGCCGGGATGGGGCACAAGCGCTCTGCAGCCTCCCGGAGCAAGTCGGGAACAAGCAGAGCTCGTGTGTTCCCCACCCTGCCTGAGCTACAGCGCTGGGGTTGGTGCCAGAGATCCCAAAGGGAAGGGACCCACAAGGATCATCCAGCCCAGCCCTGTTCAGACCCCCAACAATCCCACCCTGTGCATCCCTGGCAGCGCTGTCCAAACACTCCGGGAGCTCTGGGAGCCTTCAGGGCAGTGCCCAGCACCTCTGGGGGAAGAACCTTCCCCTGAAATCCATCGCAGCCCTCCCCTGACACAGCTCCAGGCCCTTCCCATGGGCCCATCGGGGCTGCCATCCCCTCCCTCCCCGCCCAGCACTGACCTGAGGACAGGAACTGTGCATCACGCCGGGGTAGGTTTTGAACTGCACCTTGGCGGGGGTGACGACAGACTTGAGCTTCTCGGCCGTGAGGGCCCCGAAGCGCACGGGGATCATGGGGTCCATCTCCCCGTGGCACTGCAGGATGGCGATGTCCTTGTTCACGCTGTTGTTCGCCGCCTGCCGCGGGGAGGGGACACTCAGGGGAAGGGGCAGCGCTGGGGCAGGTGCTTTGTGTGCCCAGCACACACCCCAGCAGGTCCCCCCCTCGTGAGGGGAGCTGCAGTGGGAGAATGCCCATGCCAGGTACCTGTGGGAAGGCTTTGTGCAGCGGGAGCCAGCAGCTGAGCGCCACGATCCCGGCCAGCTGGTGCTGGCAGGTGAGAGCCGTGTACAGCGACAAGGCACCGCCCTGCAGGGACAACATGGGGTCACTGAGGATCCACGGGGGGTGCAGGGACACCCTCAGGCCCAGCCCACACCCACCCAGCTCCCTGTGACAGGTGGAGCAGGAATTGGGGTCCCTCACCTGTGAGAAGCCCCCCAGGATGATGCGGTTGGGGGGGATCCCGTTCTTCATCTCGTGCTCAATGATTGCTTTAACTGGAAGGAGATGGGGAGAAATGGGTCAGTGGAAGGGGAAAATGGCTGAAAAGCATCATCCCATGCTTCAGGGTGCACATCAGGGTGCCAGAGATCCCAGGGCAAAGGTTTGCTGGGATCACAGGACAGCAGAAACAAAGGAGAGGTGGAAGGAAGACAGCTGCTGCAGTGACAGCAAGGGAGAGGCACACAGCAGCTCACCACCTCCCCCTCCCCTTACAGAGCTCCTTACTGTTTTCTGCAGCTTTCTTGATCCCAGCTTCATCCTCGGGTGCATCCGGAGTCAGTCCCATCAGGTCGAACCTGGGGGAAGCAGCAGGCTCAGCCAAAACCTCTCCCAGCACCAGGAGTGTGGGGAGGCAGGAGCTGGGTGTGCTCTGCTTTTCCCTGGCCCCCACAGGGCAGTGGATTTTGTCCCCCCATCCCTCTCACTCCCCAGAAGGATCCCATCCAGCCCTGTCCCCCAAAGCACTGACCAGGAGGGCATGACCATCTTCATGTTGAGGGTCACTGGGATCCGGGGCCTGTGGAGGAACATTTTGGGTGGTTCAGCTCAGGTCTGAGGGGAGCAGGAAGACTGACACCTCTCCCCTTCCTGCTGAGCCCCCTCCTGCCTGACCAGGGGGAGCTTCAGAGCCTTTGTCTTTCTTTCCCTGCAGCCATCAGAGATAAACAAGACAGGAAGGGAAAGAAAAGAGCCTCTGGTGCTGCTCACCTCTGTGGGAACAGCTCTGCCTGCAGCAGGAGCTGAGCAGGCAGCAGAGCCAGCCTGGCTGGGCAGCCCTGCTGGGCTCAGGCCACCACCTGCCTCCCCAAACAGCCTTCGCAGCATCAGGACCCCCAAGAAGCCCCCCAAGAAGCCCCCCAGGGCAGCACTTACGCGTGAGGGCAGATGTACTTCACGTAGGGGAGGCGGATGGAGGAGAGAGCATCGGCCCAGCTGTGCCTGGGGAGGGACAGGAGCAGATGAGCCCGAGGCTTGTCCCAGCCATTTTCCCAAGGCTGCTGCCCCCCAACCCCTCCCCTGAGCTTATTTTCCCCACCCCACCAGCCAGAACCCCCCCATGAACCTCCCCCAGCACTGATCCCATATGAGGGGAGCACACAAAGCCCCGAAGCTGCAGGCAGGGAGGACAGGGAGGAGGGAATGTCCTGGGGGATGTGGAGATCTCCTGGACAGGGAGGAGCCCTTTGTCACCACCATGCCACCTCCGAGGTGGCCTTGCACAGCAGAGATGCCCTGGTGCAGGCCCAGCCCTGCTGGAAAAGCTGCAGTGCTTATCAGCAATCCCCCAGCAATCCCCCAAGGCAGCACAAAATCCACCCGCGGGGGGTGGGGGGCTGCCAGGCTGCCGGGATCATAAATATTCAAGAGCAGACAGCTGCTGGCAGCAATTCCCTGCCATTCCCTGCCAGGCTGGTGCAGGAATGGCTGCAGACCCCAGCCCAAAGCCCCACACAAATCCTGGAGATGCCCTAAGGAGAGCAGCAGCAAAAGGCTGGGATTTCATCTGGCAAAGCACACATCCCAGGCAGAGGCAGCTCCAGGGACACTCACCCCGTGTCTCCAAGGCCATGGAGGAAAATGACCTGTCAAACAGAGGAGGAAGGGAATTAGCTGGGGTGAGTTGGAGGGGGCAGGGCTGGGCTGGGCTGGGCTGGCAGGGAGGTGGCAAATGGACACTTAGTCACCAACTCCAAGACGCTCAGATGAGCTTGGAGCACGCTGGATGGGTGGGTCAGGGATGTGCTGTCATCCCGCCACAGAGCTGCCACGGGCAGGTCTCAACTGCTCCGCACAGCAGAGGGACAAGGAGTGACAAATCATCCCACCAGGAGTGGCACTAGAGCAGAGGCCCAGCCTGAATCCCAGAATGGGCTGGAAGGGACCTTAAAGGCCATCCAGTGCCACCCCTGCCATGGCAGGGACACCTCCCACTGTCCCAGGCTGCTCCAAGCCCTCTCCAGCCTGGCCTTGGGCACTGCCAGGGATCCAGGGGCAGCCACAGCTGCTCTGGGCACGTGTGCCAGGGCCTCATCACCCCCACAGGGAGGAATTCCTTCGCTGTATCACCAAGGACTCACAAATCTACCTCCACAGGCTTTTCATCTCAGGCTCCTAAGCGTTGGGGAGCAGAGGGAAGGCAGCCTGCAGACCTCAGGGAAGGATGAGGGGGGTTCTTTTGGGAGATTTGCTTCTAAAAGCTTAAACAGCCCAGTCAGCCCCAAGTCCCACTGCCTTGACAAGCTGAGCTCTCACACTGGAGCAAACAGCCCAGCCCAAGGAATTGCTGGAGCTCATGGAAGCAGCTCCCTGTTTTCCACAGGGAGGGAAGGAGGGAGGGAAGGGACAGCCCTTACCGCAGCGGTCTCCCGCTCTGCCCCTGACACGGTGACAGCGTCGGCGAGGAGGGGGACAGACATGTTGTTACCACACATACACCGAGAGGGATCGACACTGGCACCTGCGGGACAGAGCGGTGAGGCAGGAGAACAAACCTCCCACCCCCTTCAGCAGCTGCTTCACCCACAGGAGCGGCTCTCTGGGGGAAAACTGAAGGGCAGGTGAAGGCTTTGATGGGGGAACGCCCCACACTGTGGCCTGGCAGCGCTGGAGAGTCCAGCAGCCAACGCTCCCTGCGTGGGGTGCTGGAAGTGTTAAAATTAGCCTGGAAATTACACCTCAAAGCCAAAGTTATTCCTGTGGCTGCAGCGGCCAGGCAGCAGTCTCACATCCCTTTGTTCCTGCAGCCCTTCACCCCTCATTCTCCCCCGGAGCCGTGCAGAGCCTGACCCACATCTGCTCCCACCGGGAAGCAGGAAACCCTCGGCACGCAGCAGCACAGGCTCTGCTGCACCAACAAAGGTCCAGCCCTGCTTGATGGGGCTGTTTGGGATGAACCAGAGCACTGGGAGCCGGTCTGAGCCCCCCCAGTGATGGAGAACGCTCCCCAGGACAGCAGGCAGGGTCACCACTGCTGTCCTGTCACCTCCCAGATCCCACGGAGCTGACAGCACCCACGGCACCTTCAGCCACAACAGCCCACGGTGTTTGCTCCCACTGCATCACAAATCACAGCTCCTGCTCCCCACAGGGCTGCCCTGACCCCACTGACCCAGCAGCACTAATTAGATCAGAGCCTGTTTAGGGCACTGCCTTTATCCCCCAGGAACAGGATCAGAGAAATCCCGAGCTGGAAGGGATGAAGGATCATCCAGTCCCACCCCTGCCCCCCAACAATCCACCCTGTGCACCCCTGGAGCACTGTCCAAACTCTCCCGGAGCTCTGGCAGCCCTGGGCTGTGCCCATTCCCTGGGGAACCTGGGCAGTGCCAGCACTCTCTAGGGAAAAACCTTTCCCTGAAATCCAACTTAAATCTCCCCAGGTAGAGCTCTGGCCGCTCCCAAAGTCGTGTCCCCATCACAGAGATCAGAGCCCCTCGGGAGGCCTTTCCTCATCCTCCACACTCTGCTCCACCATCCCCAGCGGGTCGGGGTGGCACAGGATCACCCCAAACCCTCCCAAAATCCCGGAACGCCGGCAGCCAGCCTTACCCAGGAGAAACAGCCCGGTCTGTGTGCCAGCCCGGTTGAGACCTGCCCGACTCGTTCCACCGAGTGCTCGTCAGCAGCTTCCCCACTCAAATAAAAACACGGGAACGGAGCTGCCCGGATCTGACACAGCCACACGGCTCGTGTGTACTCCAGGGGCAAAACAACCGGCCGGGAGCGACCGCACCTGCCAAAAACGCTGGCAGGGAGACAGAGAGGGAGCCAGGAATAACAGAAATAATCACGGTCCTCCCTGGCGCTGACGGGGGAGGCTCCAGCAGGAAAACGTGGGATGCTCGGAGCGGCCCCGAGCATTCCCAAAATTCCTCCCGGGATACTCCTGCCCCGCTCCTGAAGGCAAAACAGCGGGAACCCCCCGGGATGAAACCCCTCAGGGGCAAACACAGAACCGGGGGGTGAATTCGGGACCGACCCCACCGCAGACACCGGCCCGGGGTGTGTGTGAGGGGGACGCGTTCATCACTCGTTAATTAGCATTAATTACCGTGCCTCAGCCCTGCAGAATCCAGCGGAGGGGGGGCCTGGAGAAATCCCGCCAGGAGGCGGAGGGAGGCGGGATCCCCGCGGCCCGGAGCGCCGGTTTTCCGCCAGAACCGGGGCTCTGAGGGGAATCCCTACAGGCTGCGGGTCCTGAGGGCCCTCAGGGACGGAAATACGCGGCCATGTCACCGCACGGGGACCCGCCGAGCCAAAACCGCGGCCCTGCGGTCCCCGTTAATCCCCCGTGAAATCCCGGTAAAGGCTCCGCCCCCCCCCCCATCCCCGCCGCCCTCACGGAATTAACACCCCCCCCCCGCCCGCAGCAGTGGTACGTCCCCCCCGCCGCGCCGCTGCCCGGTCGCGCCCCCCCCGCCGCTCCCCAGTGGTACGTGCCGCCCCCCCCCCTCCCCGCACCTCTCCCGCGGCCCGGCGCGCGCGCTCCTCGCGGCTCCCGCAGGACGCGCTCCCGCCGGAACTTCCGGCAGCGCGGCGGAAGTGACGCACGCGGCGCGCCGGGCGCCACCGGGCCCGCCATGGTGGAAACGGGCACCGGAGAGAGCTCGGCACCGGCGGCGGGACCAAACCCGATCCTCACCCCCACCGCGCCCACACGGCGTTAACAGCGACGCCCTTCCCGCAGCGCCCCGCCCCGAGCGGCTCGCGGGGTGTGCGGACACGCTCCCGCCGCCCTCCCCGCCTCAGCGCCGGTGCCACCCGCGCACACCGGAGAGCCGCGACTCAGGGACAGCGCACAGCTCTGCACCGCAGCGTGTTTATTGGCAGTCACAGCACGCGGCGCCGCCGTGTCCGTCCCGCGAACTCGGGGCTGCCCCGGGCTGCCGTTCCTAACCCCGGCGGGCTCCCGTTAGGAGATGAAGTGAGTCTGCGGGGTGATCTGTTCCACCTTGTGGTCGGCCGGGTTGGCCGAGGCTTCGTAGTTGCAGATGGTGACCTCGTGGCGATGAGCCTGGGTGGGGAGGGAAGGTTTAAAATCCAGGGAAAGCAGCACTCCAGCCCTCCCCACGCTCCGGGCTCTCTCTGCTCCCTCTCACCTCCGTCCACTCCCCTTTCAGGCCTATGTAAAAAATCTTGGTTGTCTCCGCTCCGAAGTTCTTTGGGAAGTGCATGGAGAGGTGGTAAACGTTGGAGAAACGGGAAATTCTGGAGGAAAACACAGCCTGAGAGCACAGCTGCTGCTGCTCCTCCACCCCACAGCCCCAATCCCACTCAGCCTGGGCAGCAAGGGGGGTTCCCCTCACACCACGAGCCCAGGGCGATTCTGCACCCCAAGAATTCCTGGGGTGGAGCCAGCCCCAGGCTCTGGGATAGAGGTTTCAGAGGGGAGGACAGAGCTGGGGAGGAGAAATCCTGCTGAGGGGCACTGCCCTGCGCTGGCCCTTCCCTAAAAGGCTGGACAGGCTCCTGTGGCAGGCAGGAGCAGCCCCCAGACCCTGGGGTTTGGCTCGTACTTGGTGGGATATTCCAGCTCTCCCAAGGGATCCCGGCTCAGGCTGAAGCTCTGCTCTGGTTCCTTGGCTGTGTCATCAAAGGACATGTGAGGAATGTTCCTGAACCTGGCAGGACAGGAAGGCAGTCATTAACAGCAGCTCAGCTAATTGCAGTCCATGCATGAAAGAAAGAAAGTGTTCATGTTCTCCTCCACAAATAAATGGATTTACTTTGTTTTCAGCAGAGCCCCACAGCCCTGTGAGGAGGAGGAGGAGGAGGAGGAAGCTGCTCTTACTCACAGCCTCATCTCGGCCGGGTGTGAATCGCCATCCTCGCCCATCACAATGACTCCTTTCAGCTTCACGCTGCCCGTGAACCTGCCCAGACACACGGGGCAGGGTTTGCACCTCTGTCCTCTCCACGGTGCCCCGTGCCCAGGGAGGAAGGAGCCAGCACAGAGCTGGGGCACGGAACTCACGGGATGTTGAAGAGCAGCTCCTCATCATCATCGCTCTCCACGAACTGGGGAGAGAGAAGAGCAGGTCAGGGCGGGCCCAAGGGGGGCACAGGGGACAGCTGGAGGGTCATCCCAGTGGGCTCAGGGGGTGCCTTGCTCACAGAATCCCAGAATATTTAGGATTGGAAAGGAGCTCTGGAGATGTCCCAGCCCAAGCCCTGCCCAGGCGGGGTCACCTGGGGCAGGTGGTACAGGAACACATTCAGGTGGGTTTGGGATGTCCCCAAAGACGGAGACTCCAGCCCTCCCTGGGCTCTGCCACCCTCATGGAAATAAGTTCTTCCACATATCGAGGTGGAATTCTTTGTGTTTTAATTTATGGTCTTTACTCATTGTCCTGTCACTGAACAGAGCCTGGTACCTTGGGGATATCCCCTGGGGGTATTTTATGGATATCCTTTGGGGGGTTTATGGATATCCCTTTGGGGTATTTTATGGATATCCCCTGGGGATATTTTATGGATTTATGGGATCCATTCTCATCTTTCCCTTCTCCAGCCTGGCCAGGCCCAGCTCCCGCAGCCTCCCCTCATCACAGAGATGCTCCAGACCCCAAACCATCTTTGTGTAACCCCAAATCATCCTCCTGCCGTGCTGAGAAGCCCAGCCCAACACCGCACCGAGCTGTGCCTCCCTCGGGCCACGAACCCCTCCGTGCCCTCTGCCCCCGGTGCCAGCGCCGCTCCCGGCCCCACCTGCGAGCGGTCCCCGCGCTGCTCCCAGGGCCGGAACACGGTGGCTCCGGAGCCCTCGCGGCGCTCGTTGAGGCACTGCAGGCGCTGCCGGTCGATGCGCAGGTACAGCCCCCAGGCCGCGCCGCTCTCCGCCGCCTCCGCCCCGCAGCACCGGCACCGGCCGGGCCCGTGCGCCATGGCCGCGCCGGTGCCGCCAGCGCGCATGCGCGGCGTCGAGGCCACGCCCCCGTGCGGCATAAGCCACGCCCACAGTGCTCAGGGATACGCTCATGTCTATGACGTCACGCTCTATGTTAATTGAGCACGCCCTTGTGTTCATAGCCACGCCCATGTAAAGCGGTGATAGGTCCGTTGTTGTGTAGCCACGCCCAAATGGGCGGGGCGTGGCTCTGCGCGTGCTGAGCCCGCGAACCGCCCTCGGGTCCCGGGGAACGGTCCCGGTGTTCCCGGGGAGGGGTCCCGGTGCTCCCGGGGAGGGGTCCCGGTGTTCCCGGGGAGGGGTCCCGGGGAGCGGTCCCGGTGCTCCCGGGGAGGGGTCCCGGTGTTCCCGGGGAGGGGTCCCGGTGTTCCCGGGGAGGGGTCCCGGGGAGCGGTCCCGGTGGCCCCGGGGAGGGGTCCCGGTGCTCCCCTGGAGGGGTCCCGGGGAGCAGTCCCGGTGCTCCCGGGGAGGGGTCCCGGTGCTCCCCGGGAGGGGTCCCGGGAAGCGGTCCCGGTGGCCCCGGGGAGGACTCCCGGTGATCCAGGCCCGCCCTGACCCCCACCCGGGGGATGGCGAAGCTGCTGCCTTCCCACAAAGGCTCCGGGGGTATGGCTCCAAGCAGCGCAGGAACGGGAGCAGCACCCCTGCCGGGATACCGGAGCATCGCCCTCCACGGAGCCACGGAGTTTCCCAACGGCGTGTTTAACATCCGCTGTCAGTGTCAGGAAAGAACGAGCAGCCACAGTCCAGTGTTTGGCTTTTATTGAGACATGATTCTCCTCTTTTTCATATAACTTATCTAATTAAAATATTCATCTTAGTTACCACAAAAAAAAGGAACATAGAAAATTGTATATATACACAGTTTGGGACCAAAATACAAATCCTCCTCCCCGGTAGGATGGGAAGGGGAAGAGGCAGCTCTGCTCCACCCTTCAGCGTGTGCTGGAGCACACAACAACTGCACAAGTGTCCCAGCCCGAGACCGGGGAGAAGCACTTTGATCCCAGATTTTGTGTCCCCCAGGGAAATATCCCCACTCTGCTCCCAGCTGAGGGCCGGTGCCCACCTCTCCCCAGGCTGGATTAGTGCCCAAGCAAAAGGAAGGGAAGGGCGAGGGGTTGGCATCGCCCCTGTGAGAGCAGAGCCACGCCAGTGTCACCTCCCTGCGGTGCCAGGAACAAAACATGGACACAGCTGGCAAAGCCTGGAGCAAAGGGGAAGCTCCCAGAGGGAAAGATCATCTCCCCAGAACAGCAATGCTTGGGCCGTAGCCACAGCTGAGCGTGGAGCTGTGAGATCAATTAATTGGCATTTCAGCAGTGCCCAGAATCGCTCTTGGCCATCGCCCAGATCCTTTGCTCAAAGCTGCATCGTGTCTGAACAACACCAGGCTCTGCTTCCCTCCCCTCTGCCCCTACCCCAAGTACAGAGGAGAAATAAACAGTAGCACAACGGTCAGCAGAAAAGGATATATTGTTATCTAATTAAAAATACAGCAAAATTAAATACAGCAAAAACACAGGAGAGTAAGGAGCCATTATTTTACAGCACAACACACACTGAAATGCTGCACGGGAACATTAAAGCATCTGGGACTGTAACAAACTTACAGCACATGAGAGTCTGAGAACATTATTCCAAGAATTTCAAACTAAACAAAGACTAAATAAACAAGAGACAGGTGTTCAGAATGGTTTTGAAGAAAGACATGTCTTTTGAAGGAGGAGGGAAAAAATAAAGGAAAGAAACAAACAACCCAACAGAAACCAGAAGCAAGACAGGGATTTTTCTAGAGCCCTCCAGGGAGGACCCTTCACAGCAAGGTTTCCCCGGTCAGTGCACACAGACAACTCCACCGGTTTGGGATTTGGCAGCCACGGAAAGCCAGCAGCAGAGCTTCTCAGGAGCTGCCAACAACAACAGCATCCACTACCAGCATCTCTTCCACCCAGACAGCAAAGTCCTAGGGCAGCAAATATGGCTTGGAACAGGAGAATCCCACCCCTCCCCAACCCAGTCGGACCCCGGAGCCCTCCCAGAGAGGCCTGGGGTCTCCCCAGCCCCATCCTCTGCTTGCACCACCTCAGGGTTCCCTTTGGGGCAGACAGAACACAGGCAGAAACCCTCCCCAGACACACCCCATGAGCAGAAACCTTCCAGCAGAGCAGCACAGCTCCGGGCTGGCTGCCATCCCCACATCCTCAGCAGGGCTCCGACCTCTCCAGGAGCTCCAGGGCACTCCCTGACACTCCCAGCAGCCCCACCAAGCCCCTTGTCCTTCCTGAGCTGCAGCTCCTCACAGCAGGTACAAGGGAGCCTTTGGAACCCCTGCTCTGAAGGACACACACGTGTTACACAGCCACATTCCGTTTGCTCACTTCCCTCCAACCTCAGTCAAGTGGTTTCAAAGACCAAAATCCTTGGATTTTTCCAAAGAAGGGACAGAGCAAAATGTACAGGGAAAAGACAGGATTTAGGCACCAGCTTCCCAACTGGAAATAAATCCTTTCCAATTCCACACAGAAAACAAGACAGAAGAATTCCTTCCTTCTTCCCACTAAAAGAGGCAAACAGTGCCTTCACTGGTATTTAAAAACAGGTTTCCATTGCAAAGTCCCCTGTCTCTCTCCAGATAAAAAGTTAAAATCTGACTTGATGCACAGTAAAACTTCTCCCAGATCCCTGGCAGTTTTAGTCCCAGTAGCCAACAGAAGACAACAGCAGCAGAGGAAACGTCCCCAAAGGCTCTTGGCATCCCTGCAGGACCACAAAAACACTTGTACAGGATCTACAGCAACAGCACAGAGCGGGTCAAGAGCTCAGATTTTATTGACACACACGAGCAGGGAGCAAAGCCTCAGGGCTGGAGGCACTTGCCAAAGGACTGGCAAGTGGCTGGGCCACTGGTCCTGCCTGTCCCAGCGTCTCCAGGTGAGACTTTGGGCCCAGCAGGTACCAGGGGACAGGAAAGGCTCCTGTGACACCCAGTGTCCACTCAGATGGATTCCAGCTCGAGTCACCAAGGCTGAACCCAGGACTGGACCGGGAGGGGAGGGACTACTGGGAGCAACATAAATAATACAACAGGGTAGAGGGGCAAAATATTAATTAAAATCATTTTATAATTTATTAAGAGGTTAAATAGTAAATAAGTCTCTGGATCTTCCACTCTCAGCAGGTGCCAAGATTTCACATTTTCCTGTGTCAGGAGATTCTGTACACCCTTCTTTTGATGGATGACAAAGCCAGAAACAGAATGTTGAGGACAGGGGTTAAAAGAGGGGGGCTTGACACTGAGAAAGGGACCAGAATAAAAGATAAAATACTGTGCCATCATCTTGTGCAGATTGAAGCTTCTCCCAGCAGCTGCAGCCTCCAAAGAGTTCAAAGATAAGGAAGGGCTGTTTGGGTACCTTCTCCCCCCCAAGTGCCACTCTTCCTCAAGAGAGAAAGGCCCAGCTCAGCACTGCAAACTTATCTCCGAGAGAACCTGTTTTTGAAAGCTTTGATAGTCTTTGCCATCATTGGTGCAATTTCTGCAAAAGAGAAAGACAAAAAAAAAAAAAAAACCACCACTGAATCAAACAAAAAAGCCTCCACATGAAAGGAAAAGCGATAGAAGAAGAGCTGAGAGCAATTGAAAGCTGCAGCCCTGGCAGACACGAGTGTTTGAGCAGGGCCCATCAGAGTTTAAAGGTCACAGACTGAGGAGAAGCCACCACTGCTTTCTGCACTGCACCAACACAGATCCCTGGTCAAACCCTCCCTGCTTCCTTCCCGAGAGCTGCACTCCAGTTCCAAACAGCTGACAGACACAGGGCAGCAGGAGGGCAAAGGCAGAGGTTCTGCCTCGCTGCTACCATTAGGACAGGCTGGTCCAGTCAGCTCTGAGCAGCTGAATCTGATTTTTCATGCAAAAAGTTTGAACAGATTTCTTAGAAAGAGGAGAAATACCAACATCCCCCCTCCTGCACAGCCTGGAATTCTCCCCCAGCAGAAGCAGCTGTTTGTGAAGGAGAAGCTCTAGGAGGCCACAGGGATGTCCTGCAGGTTGTACTTACTCTTCACAGGGGGTTTCCTGGGGTCGCAGGAGGAGAAGGTGCTACCTGAAGATGGGGCCGAGTGGGCACTGCTGGTGCTGGGCCCATCGTAGGACTGCTCATCACTTGCCCGAGCGTGGCTCTTGCTGGGTGTGTACAGGACTGGTTTTATCCTGCAACAAACACAGAACAGGCATTTCCATAAAGCATTCACTGTGGTTTGGGGCGATTCTACAGACACACGCCACGTCTGTAACATCAACAGGGCTGATACAAGGTGGAAGCAGCAGCGAGCCGGATCTCTGCGCCTCCCAGCAGGAAAGAGGTGATTGCAGTTACAAGTTTTCCTGCAAAAGGAGCTCCCAGACACACAGTATCCTTCCCTGAGCTTCAGGGGGCAGCTGGCAGGAGGCCCTGAGTAGCAAGTGCTACAGAGAAACACTCACTTGGTCTTCTCTGGCAGAAGGGGACCTCCAGTTCCAAACTTCTCCTGTCTCCTCCGGACGTCCCGAGGAGGCTTCGCTGCAGAGTTCACAAATGCCATCTTGGCCACTCTCCCTGCAAGAGGCCAGAGGGAAACATCACTTGCATCCAGCTGGCTATAAAGGAGGCTCCTCACTGCTTGTCCTGCTACTGACAGTTCATCCACCTCTCGCCAATCCATCAGTTCCAAAGAAACAGTGACAGCCTCCTTCCTAAGGTCTGAACCTCTCGCAGTGAGAAATCAGACTGATCAGTTCAGCAGTTCTCATTATGTTCACCCAAAAAACAGAAATGTTTCTCCCCACCCTGGTTCTCTTCCATGCCAGCATGGAGAAGCCACATGGAACAGCAACCTGCTCATCATTACTATAAAATACCGAGCTGCATCAACGCCATCACAGATGAAAGCAAGACGCCGCTAACCCACGAAGCAAAGGAGCACACAGAGCTAAGCAGCTGCTAAACTGGACTGGTGTTAAGGCCAAATGGGCTCCCCCAGCCCCACCTTTGGGTTTGTTGGCGTGGGCAGAGCCGATGTTGCGTGCCAGCATGAGCAGGCGCTGCTCGCGCGCGTCGTGCAGCCGCAGGTACATCTCCCGCCACGACTCGAACTCCTCGGGCTTCTCGTTCTTGAAGTCTCGCAGGCAGTGGTTGTGCCACAGCTGATCCGTGTCCTCCACCAGCACCTGAAGCAAACCCACACAGAGCTGGGATCCCTCCTGACTCCTCCAGTCCCCTTTCCCTCGGCACCAGCTCAGTGCTGGTGTCACCGGAATCCCAGCAAAGCCAGGAACTCGGGACTGGCAAAAGCCACGTCTTGCAATGAAAAGGTTTCGTTTGCTGTTCTGCTCTTGCAGGTGAGGACAGCCCTGCACATCACATCCCTTCTGCCAGGCCAAGGCACTCACATGGTTGCATTCCTCGATGCGATACAGCTGCTCCGGGGTGCACCTCTCCAACACCGGCTCCAGCACCGAGAAAGGGACACCACCCACTTCATAGATTGCTAGAGAGAAGCAAGAAGCACAGGGTGTTAATTATCCTGCTCCTTCCTTGCCAAGGAAAGGGCTTGACACCTTGAAACGCAGTGAAAAAACTGCAATGTTGCACAATACCATTCAAGATGAGGGGAGGAGAAAGGAACCTCAGGCATCAATATTTCCAAGTTGAGAAATATCTGTGCAAGCTCCGTTTGCCATTGTTGCAGTGCTTTAGCACTGCTTGAAAGCATTCTGGGCGTTGATCCCTGCAGCACCTGGGCTTCCAGTGGGATTTATCCCATAAAAATGGAGAATATAAATGGGAAATATCCCATTTATAACAAGGGGGAACTGCTGGGGTCTGTACCAAGTTGCCAAAATTTCAGTGCACAGTGACTCTGAGACAAGGTCAGGTACTTACAGTCAATGTTGTTACTGAGGACCCTGATACACTGCTGGTACAGGGACATCATCTTTGGGAGGTAGGCAGTTTTGGAGCCAGAGTACACCTGCATTTTGGAATTTAACCGTCGGCCTGTGAAACCAGCTTCGCTCTCCTCCACTGGCGAGGACACTGCTGTGGAGGGAAACGCTTGGAGTGAGGAGGGAACAGAGAAAAGAAAGAGCCTGTCCTGCTAAATGGCACAGGAGGCACAAATTGGAGTCACCCAGAAGTGACCTAAATGGCAAAGTCTTCTCCAAGAGACCTGCAGAGCAAGTTCAGGAAGGGCAACCCAAAGCCGGAGCCCCAGAGAAGCGTCAGTGAAGGATTCTTCTCATCTCTGATGGAGCACGTGGGGAGCAGCTGCTTTTTTATGAGACCTCTGCCCCTGGCAGACCCCACCAGAAAGATTTGAACCCAGCCAGCACCCTCCCCTGCTCTCTCCCACAGTCTGGCTCGTTCCAAACCCATTTTCCTGCCCAACATACCTTTCCTTTTTGTCTGGGAGCAGGTGATGGACTCGATGGAGGGAAGAGGACGATAATTGGCCTGGATGGGGGGCAGGGGGATGTCTGGTAACGTTGGTACCACATCTAAAATTATCTGGAAGGAGAGGATGGACATGGAATAAGACAGGAATACAGCAGATGTGACATTCCACCGGTGTACAAACAGCACTGAACTGTAGGGTTTTTTGCATATTTTGCATAAAGCACTCAATGCTGCTCAGTTTGCACCAGGGAACAACTTCAGGGGGTGGCTGCCAATAGGAAGAAGATGAAATTTGGGATCTGAATAATTCAGCACCTTCCAGAAAGAGCCATCCATGTTTTTAACCTATTCAAGACAAGCAGAAGCATTTCCTTGACTCGATTTACCAGTTCTGCATCTTCTCCTCTTCCTGCAAAAAACTTTGCACTGGTGGAGGAGAAAGGAACCTCAGAAACTGAGGGAAACTGAAAACTTTGATATGGAGTCTTATGAAGCACTTATTATGAATGGATTTTAAATGCTGTTTAACCTTATAAAAACCACTTTGTGAAGAGCCAAGTGTTTCAAAGTCGAGTAAAAAGATGAAACAGTAAAGATTTTACATATTAGTCCTTATTTATACACCAAACCCTGGCACCCATGTGACAAAGGATCTGTACAGAAATATTGCTCATTTTCCAGGCTTTCACAAAAGGTTTGTCTTCTGGAATGAGCTGCCTTGTACCACCAGTTCTCCTATTTCTGGACACTAAAAAAGGTCCATTTTAGAGAAGCATAAATACGTGAGAGGGGAGACATGGGAACCTCTTTAGCAGGAGATGGACTGCAAACTGGGCTGGATTCTAAACTCACATCCATAGATACTCTACTTTCTTACCAAACCTTACCCTCTTTGGTTTAGGAGGCTCTAGGGTTTTCTTCTCTGCCTTTTTCTCACTTGTTCTCTTGTGGCTTGGACCTTTCTGACTGGAGCTTGAGCTGTTGGTACTGGCTTTGGATCCGTTCTGTTTGCTGTGCCCTCGGTCTTTGTCCCCAGCTGACCCAGCTGAAGGTTTGACCACTTTCTTTTTCTTTTTCTGGGGCTGGTCATAGCTGAGATACGACTCAAACGACATTGTAGGTTGTTCAAACTCATCCTCTGCTTCCCCCTCCCCAGAATTTGAGGAAAAACCCAGTGATTTTTTGTCCACATCGGAGATTTTGCTCTTCCCCTCTGAAGACTTTAAGCTCCCAGAACCCCCCTTTTCCTTGATCCTATTGCCCGAGTCACTCTCCGCTTTCCGTTTCTCTGAGTTTGAGCTCTCCAGGCTCTGCTTGGACTTTTCCAATTTGCTCTTCTCAGAGTCCCGATGCTTTTGCTTCTTGACATGATTGTCTAAGGATTCCTCCGAGTGTGGCAACGAGTGCGACTTCTCCTTCCTGGAGGTGCCGATTTCCCGATTCTTCTCCTTTTTGGTGCCCTCTGACGTCCTCTGCTTCTCCTTGCTGGCCGCTGCCACGGGGGATTCTCGGAGCTGCTCTTTGAAAGAAGCCTTGTGCACCCTCTCTGGGCTGAAGGCAGAGGTCCTGTCCTCCCCTCTGCCATCGAGTCGCTGCTTCTTGTGCGAGGACTTGTGCTCTTTGCTCCGACTCGCGCTCCCTTTGTCGCAGAAATTGCCGGAGCCGCGCTCCCGGCCTGCCCCGAGCTTCTCCTGGAAGCTGTGCCCTTTGCTGGCTTTCCCATGGAATGGCGCTGGTTCTTCCTGCTCCTCGGAGGCAGAAGGGTCTGTGTCCACATCCTGAGGGCTCTCACTGGGCTCAGGTGACACGGCTTGCCCACAGTCCGAGTACTCCTGGTCTGAAGAGAGCACCGGGGAGGATCTGCCCCAGCCCTTCCCCTGGTGGCTGCTATAGCTGTAAGTCTCATAGGCTCTCTCAGGCCTAGGATACTTTTTGGACTTCTTTTCCCTATGATCTGGGCTATAGGACTGGCTGCAAGAAGGCTGGAAGGGTTCTGAGTATTCCTGATCAGCCTCCTCATCCTCCCTGAGGGAAGATTCCTGATGCCTTTTGCTCGAGCTGCTCCTCTCATAGTCACGGTCTTCAGAGTCCAGATTATTTCTGAAGGGAGAAGAAACCTAAAAGAGTTAGATTAATACTGCCCAGCATGAATGAAAAGAGCCATTCCCTGGACTGGAACACCTCTCATGGAAGACCAAGGTTGTATTTGGTAGCTTTGTGGCAAAAATGCCACTAAAGCTCTGAGGAACAGCAACAATCAGGGATTTTAAAATTGCATTTCTAGTGCAAGAATTGATGAAGCACTTTTATTATAACTAGAGACAGAACCTTGTCTTTGCCTACACACTCCTGGCTGTGTGATGCTGTGGGAAAAGTCCCCCACTTCAAAACGTGGGAATATCACTCCTTTAAATTCCCATTAATAACTGGACTTTTATCACTCAAATCTATTTTATCTCTTCTGGGTTCAACACAGCTTTGTTACTGCCACATGCCTGCTAGCAATAACTTCCAGTTTCCATGGGATTCTAGCTCATAAAAGTGTTCTTTCAATTTACTTGGGCCTAGAACTTCCTGCCTTCAGAATCATAACATGGGAAGCAAGCAGATTGCATCTTTTGCTTTATTAAGAACACTTTTTCTGACATCTCCTTTTAATCGCTTCATCAAACTGCAAATTCTTGAAAGCTGGCCCCAACTTCCACATGAAACTGCAGCTGTCATCATCCCAACACTCCAGAGCCAGCAAAGGCAGGAAGTTTCTGCCAAAACAAGGCAAAACCCCCGGGCAGAGTTTGAATATTAGTTTTACAAGTTTTTCCAGAGCCTTGGCCAGAGAGGTTTGAACTATCCACTGAGAAAACATTCCCAGAGCTCCTCCATGGGGCTCACTCACCGCTCAGCCTCCTGGGCCACCGGCACCAGCTTCTTCCACCTGGCCACGAGGTCCTTGGCAAAGTCTCCCACCAGCTCATGTTTCCTCAGGCTGTTCACAGTCTTCCCAACTCCTGTCTCCTTCAGGAGAGAGCCACGAATCCATCTTAGCAAAACAGGAATTCTCACCCCTGCTAAACTCCCTAAAGAGTCAATGAAATCAACACACTCCCTCCTGCTGCAAGGGAGAAAGTTCCTTGATCTAACAGCAAAGATATCACTTTTATTATGTCTTCAGCTGCTCTATATCACTCACTACATGTAAATCAAAGGTTAACTCTACCTCAGACAAACACTAACGATTTGTATTAATAACCCAAGTTGGTATTTACCATGAGAGCTGGCAAGTTTGAAGACAGAAGCTATTAAAAACCGTAAGGATTAGCATTTCCTCATTTCCTGCTGATTTGTTATTGCTGGGATCTGCTCCAACTCTCTTATCCCAGTCAGGTGTTAAGCTTTTGGGAGAACCGAGCGTGACAAACTGTCCTCCATGGCTTCCCTCCTGGCCTGGCATGCTCCTTCCCCGTGCCTGGCACTTCCAGAACCTTATCACAATCACGCCTGTGTCACTGGGCTGCAGCAGGTGGCCAACAACACACCCTGTTCCAGGGAAAGCAGCACTTCCAAGGAAAACAGCCCTCCCTGGGAACCCACAGACACGATGAAAATTCCCAGAGATTGCACAGCTCTTACCACGAGGATGTCAACTGTGATGGGTAACTCTGACAGCCTCTTCAGACTCTTCAGCAGCTGTGGAGACAAGAGGAGAAGGGTTCAGAGTTGTCACACAGAATCACAGTCAGGGACTAGGGAGGAAGAAAATGCTGCACTGACTGAGAGCTCCTTAGGAAGATCCAAGTGGCTGACAGCTGCTGTCTCGCTCCAAAAAAGCTCCTGAGAAGCTGAACATGAGGGCCAACTGCAAAAAAAATCTCTTCTCTGCCCACAAAAACCCACCAGAAAGTCTTGTAACACACTCGAATATTAACATTTGCTTCACACGGGACTCCAGCTTCAATCTGGCTTAAAGCACTGGGAACAGAAACACACAGCAGGAGGAAGAAAGGACCTGGAAGCCTGTGACTCTCAGAAGGTGGTGGTGAAATCACACCCCTTGGCAAGAAAAAGGGGAAGGAAGATTTCTAGATGCTCCTAAGGGGGGAACCTGTGTCTCCAGTGCCAACAGGCTCTCTTCAATCAGGTGCTAAAGTCAGGGATCAGCACCTGATCCCTTCCAAATTCCCTTCCTCTTGCTCCACTCTTTTCTCTTCCCTTCACCAAACACCAGAGAAGTGTTTTTTCCTCCACACACCCCAAGCAAGGTTCTGCCAGCATCTTCAGATGCTCCATGGGACAGGGTGGGACAAGGAGCCTTCTCCAAAGAGGAGCTGGAGGACTTTGGCAAGAAGGAACAGCTTCAAGCGGCACCAGGGAAGTTTCAGGTTGGACACCAGGAGAAACTTCTTCAGGAAAGGGTGGCCAGGCATGGGAAAGGACTGCCCAGGGAGGTGGTGGAGCCACCATCCCTGGAGGTGTTGAAGGATTCACCTTTAACACCTGGCTCTGGGCTGGCTGACAAGGTGGGGATCAGTCACAGGTTGGACTCGATGATCCTGGAGGTCTTTTCCAACCCTAATGATTGTGGGATTCTGTGAAAGGGATACCTCTGCCAGCCGGGTGGTTTGGGACACGGCCTCACCACGATGCCTGCTGGCTCTGTAGCTAGAGTACATGGCAGGACACATCTGACAGCACTGTTGCCCCTCACATCATTTCCCACAGCTCAGCTATAGCCACAGTCCAGCCTGATCAGCATTCCCATTATTATAGCCCCTATACAGCCCGGGCTGTGCTCAGCACTCCTATGCTATATGCCATACAAAGGGCTGCCCCTGATGCAGAAATCTTCTCTTTAAAGCACTGTGCTCGTGCTCAAATCAGCACTGTCAGCCTGAGCTGACACCCAATCACCCCCAGAACCACCGTGCAAGGACCAAACAGGTTTGCAGGGCTCCTTCCTTTGGAGCACTCTTGCTTTCAGAGAGGAAACACTCCTCGACACCCAGAGAAGGGTTCCTCTGACATAAGCAAAACCACAACTTCTGTTCACTAGAAACCAACCCTTTATATTTAGGATCTAATAACTGTGACAGAAGGTTTCGGTTTTCTTGGTTTAGAAGAGTGAAACACTGATACCAAGAGTGGCTGCTGCTGCCTTGCCAGCACAGCTGCTCAACAAGTGCACTGGCAACTGAAGGCATCAAGCCAAAGGCAGCAGAGCCCAACTCTGCTGCCTCTCCTCGGACTACCTGCCACAGTTCAGGGGTCAGGATCCCTCTGGGAAGGCCAAAATCCTTCAGGGATTGGTAATAAAGGAGTTTGGACTTGTGTGCGCAAAGGGAACAGGAATGGAAAGAAGGATGGATTTTTGTACTGGATAGAAAAAGAGTAAATCAGGACAATATTAAAGCAACAGCATCTCCGTGAGCTAATTAAATTCATAGAAAGGTTTGTTCAGAGCTTACAAAATCCCACTGTGAGAGTAAGAACCAAAGGAGAACTCGTTCTGGTGTCACTAAATCCTCCCAAATATTTTCTAGCTACACTCCACTGCAGCATCTCCCACAGTCCTGTTTGCTCTTTAGTTATTTGTTGCCTTCAGGGCTGAATTCCAGGAAGAGAAGTGCTGTTCTCAATGGGAATGCTGTTCTCAGTGTGGTTGGAGACCAGGAGAGCCACACTCTTGATCCAGAACACGTCTCACGAGGAGCTGAGTTATTCCACAGCCACTCAGTCGATTCCTCAGTGGAACACAGGTCCTTGTGCAGGAGATCCACCAAGTGAGGCAACTTTGATGCAGTGAGGCTTAAAAACTCCTACTGAACTTTATCTCCTTTGGAAACAAGCTGATGGAGTTCATCCCACTGAGCCTTACAAGGACATCAGGAGGAACTGTGGACAACAGGAGGAATTTCTTCACAGAAAGGTGGCCAGGCATTGGAAGGAGTCCCCATCCCTGCACGTGTTCAAGAAACAGCTCAATGTGGAACTCAGTTGATGTGGAAGGGTTCAGTCAAAGGCTGGACTCGACCCTGGAGGTCTTTCCCAACCTGTAACAATCCTGGGATTCTAAATCTGGCAGCTCGTCTTGGAAACAACCAAGATCATACAAATCCTGCAAGGGAGACCAAACACCAGGCTCATGTCTTGTGAGACACACACAACCAAGCTCTTCTAAAACACCCCAGCACAGGGCAGGGCTTCTTTTAATCAAGACACAACCCACAAAACTGAGCTCCAGCTCTAATCAAGCTCTGTTGAACATGGGTGGATCGTTTTCTTTCCCTGAAAGAAGGCAGCCAGACGGTTAGAACACTAAAAACACACACTACTATCAATTTGCTCCAGCACAGTCCGGCTCCTGCACCTCCACAAAGATGCTCTTGCTCATGTTTTCCTTCTCCTCTTTCTTCCCATAGCCCTGGAGCAGAGCTTGTACCTCCTCTGCTGGAAAAAAAAGACAATTTCCAAACCATGACAGCACTGTCCAAGATTTCACTCGCATTCTTCCTTGCCAGCAGCCCAATTTTCACCCAAAACCAGGAATAACAACGCTGTACCTCTTTCAGCAAAGCAGTGAGTTGTACATGAAACTGGGCAAATATTATTGTTTCACATTCCTGATAAAATATTTTGAAAGGACCAAGCAAGAAAAGTGAGGACTGGAAATGGTGTAAGGGTGGGCAGCACCCAGGGATGCCATGGATTTGTGCCTGCTAATGGGGTAAAATTTCTTCAACAGGAAGGTCCTTACAAGATCCATCAAGACAATGCAATGGCAACTAAATTCAGGCTTTAAACCACTAATGCTTCCAATGATATGGTTGGAAAAGTATCAGAAATAAAGAATATAGGTCACAGGGCCTTTTTGCTGGGGAAGAAAAGAGCTTTTCAAGTGATTACCCTGCTTTACCTCCTCTGCCCGCCTTGCAAAACCACCCAGGATCAACAGAGCAAGAAACAACTTCACACCAAGAGGTCACTGGAGAAAGAGTCGGGCTGTGCAAACACTGCCCAGGGCTTGCAGTGCTCCAGAAACACACCAGCAGTTCTTGCCCCGAGCTCACACAAGGGGCAGGGAACAGCAGCACAAATCCTCTGTGCAAAGAGCGCTGAGACAATATGCTCTTTGCTCATGGTCTCAGCACCACGAAGCTCAGACCGGCTGGAACTGACTCCTTGGCAGTCCCTCAGCTCCATGTGGGGCTCCAGCAGTTAAACCCTGCTCTGGTCGTGGCTGAGAGGGTGAGAAGAGTAACCAGATCCCATCACATCACCCCCAGCCAGGCTGGAGCTCCTGCAGGGGTTCCCATTTCAAAGGGTCAGCACTCGACATCCTCTCCTCCTCCTCCTCCTCCTCCTCCTCCTCCTGGGTGGTGGGAGATCTTGGGAAGGGAGTTGTGCAGGTGTTTGTTTCGGTGAACCAGAGCCAGCCCGGCACGGAGCAGCTGCACAGCCCTGCCCGCCTCCTCCTTCACCTGAACTGCACAAAGCGTGAACCCAATACCTGGGAACACTCTCAAAGGATGCTCCCCCTTTCAAACAGGAGAAGGGAGCAACAGCACGCCCGAGCTCAACCAGAATTCCAAATCTCACTAGAAAAAGCAGCTCTGGTGCCCAGCAGGACAGTCGCTGTCACCAGCCGAATGTCACCGAACACAGCGCGCCCAAGGCGGCTCGGGGCAGCACCGCAGCCGCTCAGGCACAGCTGAACGCTTCGGGAGGGGGCACATTCCCTCCTGGAGAGGGGCAGGAAGAGCCAAGCGAGTCCCCCGAGGCCGGAGGGAACGGCGGCGACAGGAGCCAGCCGGGAGCCGTGTCCCCCCAGCCCCGCGGCGGTGCCTCCCTGCGTGGGCTCACACCCAGCGCGTCACCGGGGCAAGGCTCTTCCGCAGAGTTCTGCACTGCCCGGCGGCCCAGCCCTGCCACGGGGCACCCCAAAAGGGACCCCTGCTTGCCACTGCCATGGGGGCACCCCAAAAGGGACCCCTGCCTGCCACTGCCACGGGGCACCCCAAAAGGGACCCCTGCTTGCCACTGCCAAGGGAGACCCCAAAAGGGACCTCTGCTTGTCACTGCCACGGGAGACCCCAAAAGGGACCCCTGCTTGTCACTGCCAAGGGAAACCCCAAAAGGGAGCCCTGCTTGTCACTGCCACGGGGCACCCCAAAAGGGACCCCTGCTCGTCACTGCCAAGGGAAACCCCAAAAGAGACCCCTGCTTGTCACTGCCAAGGGAAACCCCAAAAGGGACCCCTGCTTGTCACTGCCAAGGGAAACCCCAAAACGGACCCCTGCTTGTCACTGCCACGGGGCACCCCAAAAGGGAGCCCTGCTTGTCACTGCCACGGGGCACCCCAAAAGGGACCCCTGCTTGTCACTGCCACGGAGCACCCCAAAACGGACTCCTGCCCGCCACTGCCACGGGGCACCCCAAAAGGGACCCCTGCTTGTCGCTGCCACGGGGCACCCCACGCGGGACCCCTGCCTGCCGCTGTCGCGGGAGGACCTGCCACGGGACCCCTGTCAGCACCCCAAGCCCGCCGCGGGGGCGCCCCACAAAGGCCACCCGCCCGCCGCAACGGGACCCGCAGGGCCTGCGAGCCCCGGGCCGCCCGCACGTCCCAGCCCACGCACCGCGGCCCCGGCCGGGCAAGGAGCCGCACGCAAGGGAAGCCCCGGCGGAGGTAGGCCCTTCCCCGCGCCCCGCAGACCCCCCGTGCCCACCGCTGGGACCCCGGCGGGCCGAGGCAGCCCCCATCACCTTCTTGGGCTCGGCGCTGCCCGCCAGCCGCGCCTGGAGCCGGCCCACAACTTCCAGCACCGACTCCGCCATGTTTACTGCTGGCGAGCCGGCGGCGGCGGAAGTGGCTTCAGCGCCCGCCGGACCCACGGTGCTGCCCCGCCGCCGCCGCCATCTTGGCTGAGGGCGGGAAGCGGAAGCGGCGCAGCGCGGCTTCAGCCATAGCGGATGCGGGCGGAGGGCGGCGGGCGCCATGTTTGGGGCTGGCAGTAGCGCCATGTTGAGTGCTGGCAGGGCGGCGCTGAGGGGAGCGCGGCCGCCGCGGCTCTGGCAGCTCACCCCTCAGGATGGGCTGTCAAACAATCCCGGAGGAGCCTCTGGAGATCGTCCAGTCCAACGCCCTGCCCAGGCAGGATCACCTGGGGCAGCTGGCACAGGGACACGTCCAGGTGGGTTTGGGATGTCCCCACTGAGGGAGACTCCAGCCCTCCCTGGGCTCTGCCACCCTCGTGGAAAGCAGTTCTTCCTCATGTAGAGGTGGAACTCGTGGGTTTACGGCCATTACTCCTCATCCTGTCACTGGGCACCACTGAACAGAGTTTGGCACCGTCCTCTGACAGCCCTTGGAGATGTTTGTATGGATTGATGGGATCCCCTCTCAACATTCCCTTCTCCACAGTCTCCCTTCATCAGAGAGACGCTCCAGTCCTTTAATCATCTTTGTTCTCTCTTTCAGACCCACTCCAGCAGCTCCTTGGCTTTCCTGACCTGAGGAGCCCAGAATTGGATGCATTTTTTCCTGAGGTAATGGCACTTCTCACCCATTCCTATTGCCCCCCAACGACTGCTTTTCCTTGGGATTGTTGAGGAGGTTGTTGCAGTGCTGAGTCTCAGCTGAGCCTGGACCTGAGCCCAGCCCATTCCAGGTCTCAGTCTGGACCCGAGTCCAGCCCATTCAGTGTCCCTAAGACTTGGCTGACCTCACACCACCCCAAAAGGCTGCTGTAAGTGTAGAAGTGGAAAGAGCAGTCAGCTGGCTGGGAGGAGGATGTTGTATGCGGAAAGTTGAGGGTCTCTGTGCCTCAATCTGCAAATCCTGGCGCTGGGCAGAGCTTCCCCCTGGGCAAACCTGTCTGAGAGCAAGGTAAGAGCAGCCCCAGCCTGTGGGTGAGTCATGAGAGCCAGGACACACCTGGCAGGATCAGCAGAGACCTTGTGTGGGGCTGGGAGCTGCTGAATAATGGAAAATGGGGGAAAAGTCTTTGTTGCTTTCTAAAATGGAGCTGGAGAAATTATTAACAGCAAGAGTGCCTGGAGCTGCAGTGCCCAGGGAGTTTTCCAGGCTGGCTGGGAGGTGGCTGTGACTCAGGCTCTGACTGAACCCACCTGCAGGAAAAGGAGCTGGAGTCAGAACCATTTCACATCCAGACACAGAGAGAGCAGCAGCTGGGTCCCACTTTCAGGACGTGACAGTGTGATAAAACGAGGTATCAGTGGTGTAAATTGGGGTAGCCCCATTCCAGGGATGGGACTTTGCTCCTGAATCCCTGTGGCTTCCGAGTCATCCCTGCTCTCCCTGGCACACTGAGCTTGGCCATGCTGGCACTGCCACTTTCCCAGTCCAGCCCAGCCTTGAATCCTCTTTCCTGACAGGGACTTTTCCTAAAATTTCCCTTCTCCATGTTCTTGCTGGAGTCTCCTAACAGCCCCCTTCCCTCCAGGTGCTAAATACGAGCTGATTAATCAGTTCCAAGAAACTTGATCTTTGTGGCCAAGCACGATAAAGAGCCCTAGACATGTGAGCAGAGCAGTAACAGCTATTTCTGTCCAGATTTGTTCCCTCCTCTGCTGCCTGCTCCCAGCTCCCTCAGAGAGGAGGTGAGGTCACTGCTGAATTTCAGACTGGACGTTCTAATGGGATTTGGGAACATTCAGAAGCCCACGGCCACGCTGGCTTTGTGGGAGGATGGAATGAGAGCAGGAAGAGGTACCAGAAACGTGTGCAGTGCTACAATCCCGCCCTCCACGAGTGGGCTGAGGGTGAGGAGCTCCCTGAGGCCATCGTGGCTGTCTCATGCTGCACCATCTCACTCCCACCATCCCTCCAGGTCCAGCTCTGTGCCCTCAGCAGCAACCAGCACGTAAAGAGCCGAGTTCCACACGGCTTCTGCCACCAGCAAGGGAAGCACAGCGAGCTCGGGGGTGTGGGACAGCTGGATAAGGGAGACACGCTGATGTTTGGGGTCACTGCAAACTTTGGGAGCGAGGAAATTGTCCCCTGAGCTGCCTCCATCTCCATCTCAAAGCTTAAGCAGGGAATGCAGACACAGGACAGAAGAGCTTTTCTTCCCAGCCTACGTGTCTGGATTGCAGCACGGATTGGAAAACACAAAGGGGGAAAAGGAAGAATAAAGCCAAACCATAATAGTGGAGAAGGACCCTCGCTTCCATCAGCTTCCCCAAAAAATTCACAACATAAGTTAGGGGTTAGAAAAGTTTATTTACTTCTCTGGTAACAGGAACTGCTCATTTACCAGGAAGGATGATGCCATCATACTGTGACGGGAAAAGAAAAAAAAAAAACAAAGAACCAAGTGAGAAATCACCATCAGGTAAAAGTGCAGTACTGCTGTGCAGAAAACTTGAGTCACTACAGTCATTCCAAACCAACACAGACATGGAAGACCAGTTTTCCTGCAGCCAACTGCCCTTGTGCTGTGCTGGAATGTCCAAGGGAGCTGTGCTCAGAGAATCTGCTCAGCAGCTCCCTGAAACAAGCAGCTACACCCTCCACAGGCTGGTCTGACCAGCCCAAAATCTGAGCCCTGAGGGTAACTGTGCCACATTGAGCACAACCAGGCAGGATGGGGGAAACAGGAATTCAGCAAGATCAGGCAGGAGGCATCCCTGCACAGGGTGTGACCTGTGTAGGTCCAGGCAGCCTCCACACTTTCTATCAAAAAAAAAAACCCAATAAACTATCAGCAGTCCCCACCTCTGAGATTTCCAACCCAGCTTTCAGCAGCTCCCATTCTTTATCCTATTGTTCATTATATGGAGAGATGAACCCAAGAATTTGTTTTATTTGTGGGTCTCTCCATCCTCCAAGTGTGGCCAACAAATCCTATGCCTGCCTCCTCACTCACGAGCCACCAACATGCAGCTCCTCCAAAAACTGTGGGAGCCATTTACACAGGAGCTGGTAATTCCTCCCATCTCTCCTGCCAAGAGTGGCTCTTTCAGTTCAGCACACCCAAAAAAGCAAAACTTGTGCTCGAACATTTCTATTTAGTAGCAGCAGCTTTTACTGCTGTGGGACAGTAAAAATCTACAATTCAAGCACTCATCAAGATGTGCCCAGTGATTTTCTGCAGTCTTTCCACGAGGTGTTCTGCTGCTCCTTGCTGGGGAACTCTTGGCATGCAGAACTGAAGGTGGACTGTACCTTTTGCTGGAACCAGCGCATGGCTTCCTCCTTCCCAATCCTGTGCTTGGCCCCGATGTTGCCAGTCCTGCGTTTCTTGTCAGCAATGCTGAACCCTGGCCTGCCCAGCACCTGCAGGACAAAGCCAACAGCACTGCTTCATCCTGGCACTTTCTGTTTCTTTAAATCAGTTTTCCAGGAGGGAAGCCTGGAATTTCCTCCTCAGTGATGCCTTGCTGCTCTCACTTTCCCCAAAGCCAGCCCTACTGTTTCTGTGTCATCCTAGGAAGCGCTGTCAGAGCAACAGGATTTGTTTCTGAAGAGGCTTTGTGAGATTTAATCAGGGATTTTATGGCAGCTCTGGGAATCTCAGATTAGAAAAATGACAACAAAACCCAAGTTTATCTTCCAGCAAGTCCATGGGAGGCAGTGCTTGTTCTAGGCTCCTTCTGGAGCTTTCCCACCTGCCCAGAAAACAGGGAGTACTCACCACGTAGAAATCCAGACCGTAGATACCGATACTGGGATCATATTTAATGCCCAGATCGATGTGTTCCTGGATTCCAAAGCCAAAGTTCCCCGTGTCTGAGAAGTTGTTTTTTCTCAACTCGTATTCTCGCACCTGAAACGTTGGTTCTTGGTCATTATTTTGTTCCTGACTGGAGGAGAATTAAAACTCCTGCCCACTGCTACCAGACCCCCAACTCGCTCACAAGCTATTGAGTCTTTATCCCAAAAAATTTTACTTCCAAATTGCAGCAGCAAAGAACAAAACACCAAAAAAATCAGCTCCTGCACCAATTATTTCTTAAATAAGGTTGAAACAGCACCCAGATAAATAGTGTGAACACTTCATGCCGTGTATCTGACCTGCACCTAGATCAGCTGCAACGTTTTGGAGCACACACCCCTTCAGTCAGAAAGGAAAACTTCTGTTCTTTCACAAACCAAAGATCCAGCCCCAAATCCTCACCTTCAACCCCTTCTCCAGAATCTCCTCTGCTTTGGCCCCGCGAACCGTGCAGTGAACAGCGATTTTCTCGTTTCTCCTGATCCCGAAGGACCTCACCGTGTACCGGGCTGCGGGCAGCAACAGTCACACTTAGGGGACAGCCACAGAATTCCCACCCGGAGATTTGGAGCTCCTCAACTCAATAAATTCAAGGGAATTACAAAGAATCGAGCCAGCCTCACTTTCCGGCTTAAGGGGTGCTGACAAAGAGTTTGGAGACAGAACTAAAATAACACGAACGTGCACGAGTCCGTGAATATTTAAGCCCCCCAGTTCTCCAGCAGCTCTCTCGACACCAGCTCTGCCAAGGAGCCCTTTCCTGGGAACCGCGCTGCCACTGCACCCACGGGAAGTGGAAAACCCCCGAGGGAACAGCCAGGGCTCCTCCGCAGCCCCTCACCTTTGGAGAACACGGGGGTCTGCCCCGTCAGCTGCTCCAGCACTTTGGCGGCGCGGGTGAGCCGATCCCCGCTCTCCCCGACGCAGATGTTGAGGCAGAGTTTGCGGATCCGCAGCTCCCGCATCGGGTTCTCCTTCTCACCTTGGTCCTGCTACGGAGAGACCACACCGCGAGTAACCGGGGGTGCTCGGGGCGCGGAGAAAAGCTTCCGCAAGCGGACACCGCGCCCCGCTCCCCGCCGGGCCCGAACCGCGGAGCCGCGGCCGCTTCCGGAGCACCGGGCGGGCCGCGGCCTAGTCCCGGCAGCCGCTCCCACCGGCTCCTCCGCGCCCATCCCATCGCCGCGCCCATCCCGCCGGCCTTCCCCGCTGCCGCCCGCACGGGCCGCGCTCGGGAGAGCCCCGCGGAGCGCGGATGGCGGCGGATGGAGCAGGCCCGGGCCGCGGTTCCGGCACTCACCGCCATGATGGAGGCGGGGAAGAGGCGGGCGGGGCGCGGCCGCGGGGAATTGTGGGAGCGCGCGGCGCCCCCTGGCGGGCGGAGGGCGGCGTTGCCATGGCAACCCCCGCTCATTAATGCCCCTCATTAATTAGGGTAAATACCAACAGTAATCGCAATTAACCGAGAGAGGAAAACACAACCCGAACATGCGGCGCGCAGTGCTGCGCTGGGAATGACTTTCCCTCTGTGGGATATCTCTCGGATCACTGTCCCAGCTACATCCCTCTCGGTTTCTTTTGGGAACCCCCTCACTTGGCAGAGCATGAGACCAAAAAAAATAGAAAAAGAAGAAATAACAGTTCTTAACTTAGGATAGACATGACTTAGCGAAAATCCAAAACAAAGTTCATTCTTCCTTGGAGCAAGGATCAGGGGAAGTCAAGCTCAGATCCCCAGAACTCCTTCAGGAAATGGAGGGTTTCAAGAGCTCTGTCTAGAATCTGGATCCTATTTTTGTACCGTTTGGGAGGGTTGGGGCTGGCAGCCCATTCCCCACTGCACTCAGGGGAGAGCAGAACTTCCCAGCTTCTCTGGGAAGGGGGCAGCCCAAACTCACACCCCTTTGGAGTCCATGCTTCTCTTCAGAGGCCACATCCTGGGCAGAAAATGAAGCTCACACTCAGTAAGGATAGCACCAGCTCAAGGCTTTCCCTGTCTATCCTCTTTTCCTACCTCCAGCCAGCCCGAGCTCTGTAACACCATCAATTATTTTTCCCCACGTTGCTTCTAAGCGAGGATGAAGGATAAATGAATAATCAACTTGTCTCATTAAGGAGCGAGAAAAAATGCCAGGAGTCTCCATGCAGAGGGTGTGAAAAGCCTCTGGTTAAAAAGTACCATTTGCTGCTTCATTATGGATTTCGTTGCTCCAAGAACAGCTTAGTTGGAAATAGCTGCAGGCTGGGCTGGCTTCCAGCAATCCATGGATCCCATCTGGGGTCTGTCTGTGCTGCAGGGCTGCTCCCCACGGGCACAGCACAGGGCAGGGCAGCAGGCTGGCACCAGGAGCTGGGCAGAGGGGGCTGAGGGTCTCTGCTGTGCCCCCTGCCCTCCGTGGCTCTCCCTCCTGCATGGTTTGGCTGTGGCCAAGATCAGCTAAAGAGGCTGCAGAGGGGGAGGAGGAATAGTTCCAGCCACTCTGGGGGTCCTGGGGGATGAAACAGAGCTCAGGGGTGTCACCCTTCCCTTTGTCTCCATGACCACACCACCATGCCACCTGATGGTGTTAACTCATCCCAACCTCTGCTCCTGGCTCCTGCCAGCAGCAAAGAGCATTGCTCAACTCCAGACACGGAGAATCAGAGAATTATGGAGTGGTTCAGGTTGGAAGGGACCTTAAAGCCCATCCAGTGCCACCCCTGCCATAGCAGGGACACTTCCACTGTCCCAGGCTGCTCCAAGCCCCAGTATCCACCCTGGCCTTGGGCACTGCCAGGGATCCAGGAGCAGCCACAGCTGCTCTGGGAGTCTGTGCCAAGGCCTGCCCACCCTCCCAGGGAAGGTCTCCCCACCCTCCCATCTTGTTGGAGAGACTTTTCCTACCCTGGCATTTCTCTGCTGAATTCAGGAAACTTTTCCTGCCTGGCACAGAGCTTCCCACTCACCCACTGCCTCGACCCTCTCCCCATCTCCAGATCCACCCAGATGGGGTCCCACGTGGAGCTCCTCCTGCTCTGAGTCATCCCTGTCCCCAGAATAGTGCAGAGCTCTGTTTTGCCAGGTGCTACCACACATTTTCCCTGGGAGAGGGGGTGGGCTCGGCGTCGTTCTTGATTCAGTGCAAAGAAAGGAATCCATTGCTGAGAGCAGCTTCGGGTTTTACCCAGGGATGTGCTGTTGGTTTCTGGCCCCAGGTTTTCACCTGGCTGCTGAGAAGTTCAGCTGCAGTGGGAGCTGATCCCTGCTACTGGAAATGCAGGTGGACTTCTTCAAGTGGTGATGTCTCACTCCAGCTCGGAAGGCTGAATTATTATTTATTATAACTATACTATTATACATTAATATACTATTTAAAGGAGATACTAAAACTACAAACCTACTTTTTCCAACTCCCATATCTAACTAACACACAACTCGTGCCCCTCTCTCTACAGTTTAAACACAAGTGCATTGGATTGGCCACCAGGCTCAAACAATCCTCACCAAAATCCAACCAAGCAATCACCCCAGGTAAACAATTCACACACATTCCACATGGGAAAAACAAGGAGCAGAAATAGAAATTGTTTTCTCTTTCTTTTCTGTGCTCCTCTATGAAAAAATCCTGAGAGAGCGAGAAGAACATGCCTGGCACAGCCTGCCACGGTGCCAGAGGTGTTTGTGATCCCCGGCAGGAATCCTGCGTGGTGGGGAGAGAGAGGGCAAAGATTTCCTGAGCGAGGCAGGGAGGAACTTCTCCCAAGGAGGGAGAGGAGTGGGTGCCTCCTGTGGCTTCCCTCACTGCGGGAACGCTGCCTGCGCTGCTGAGCGACATTAGCACTGTCCCTGCAAGAACAGGAGGATTAAAAACCTTTATTTCAAACCTTTATTTCACCCAGCAGAAGAAACAGCAAGAGCAGGAACTGCAGAGGCCTCGTGGGACTGGGAAAGAGGAGGATGCAGAGCCAGGGAGGGCAGAGATTTCCAAAATCCACGTGGCTGGAGTTGATGCCTGCCCCTGGCACGCCGGTTACTGCCAAGGCCAGGGTGAGAATGACCACAATGACCGCGGGACTGCGGCCAGCAGGGAGAGGCTGCGAGCAGCATCCCCCGGGAGGAAATGGGAAGTGCTGTACAACAGGCCGCGAGGCTGCTGGACAGGCTGGGTGGCACACGAAGGAACTTTATCCTGAGAAAAACTTCCTGAGGACGGCCGCCGGAGGAAATCAGCCACGATGATCAGGGCAGAGAGGATGCAGTGCCACGCGGGCAGCGGCCTCGCGGCTTTCCTGGCTGCGTGTCCCGGGCGGAACGGGACAAATTTGGGATTTCTGGGCGCGATCGGGATAAATTTGGGATTTCTGGGCGCGATCGGGATCGGCGGGACTCGAACCGCGAACCCCGGAGCGCCGAGGCCACGCCCCCACGGCTAAACCACGCCCCCATAGCAAAACCACGCCCCGTCCGCGATCCCCGCCCCTGATTGGCCGCGCCCCTGATTGGCCCCGCCCCCTTGCCGCCGGCGGGTCATGTGACGGGCCAAGATGGCGGCGCTCATGGCGGCGGTGCCGGTGCTGGCGCTGCTGGTGCTGTGTCCGGGCCCCGCGGCCGCCGCCGCGCCCCTGGTGATCTGGCACGGCATGGGTGAGCCGGGACCCTCCGGATTGCCTGGGGGCCGAGCGGGACCGAGGGGCGCTCGCTCCGGTGTCCCGGGAGGTGCTGCCCCTCCCGGTGCCGTGTGTTTGTGGAGGCGTGATGGCGCATGCCGGTGTTCCCTCTCGCAGGTGACAGCTGCTGCAATCCGGTGAGCATGGGCTACATCCAAAAACTGGTGGAGAAAAAAATCCCCGGGATTTACGTCCTGTCGCTGAAGATCGGGAGCAGCCTGATCCAGGTGAGCCGGGCGTGTCTGCGTGCAGGGGTGGGTGGGGCTGGCACCGCGGCTTGAACAGGATTCCACGAGCATTCCTGCTGTGCTTCCCTGCTCGTTTTCTCTTCTCAGTGAGGTAAACAGCTTTGACAGGTAGAACCCGATAAAGTCCAGCTAATAAGCTGCAGAAAAGCACTGGGGACAAACAAATCCCTGACCTAAATTGGATTAATATGCAAATCCAGTGATTAGCACACTCTAAGCACTGCAGGTAGTACGTGCTGAGGCAGAGCTTTATCCCCGGCCATGCTTCTCGATTGCAAACATTTATTTACTTCAGTGTGTAAAAAATTACACACTTCTGCCCTTTCGTGGGTTTTGACAGGTTTTTGTAGTCCTGTGGAATTTCTTTCAATAATAATGTGCAGTGCAGGTGGTTTTCTGGGTGCTGGAGAAGTTTGGTTTTTAAGTTTTATGTCTATTTGAACAAAATCTGAAGAGATTGAAGTTGTGAAGGAGTTTGGGGAAATGTCAGTGTCCCATATGAGACAGAGCAGGAGGGGAAGGGGAAGTGAAGGTAAAGGGAGTTCTCAGAACTGGAATTTCACTTCCTGTGAAAGCTCAGGTCCTCTTTCTAAACCACAAATGCCAGTGATCTGTTTGCAGAGCTGACACCAGCCGAGGTCCAAGCTGATCCATGTCCTGCTCTGATCCCCCAGGACATGGAGAACAGCTTCTTCATGAACGTCAACGAGCAGGTGAGGGAGGTGTGTGAGCAGCTGGCCGCCGACCCCCGGCTGCAGGGCGGCTACAACGCCATGGGCTTCTCCCAGGGAGGCCAATTCCTGTGAGTGCTGCTCTCTGCCCCACCCCGGGGCTCTGCTGCCTCCTGCTCCTCCTTTAACACCCTCAGAACTGCTCAGCAGTGCTCAATTCCTGAGGGCAGCAGCGCTCCAGGGGGGCAGGTTGTGTTCTTTGTGTTCTCCTGCTCTTCCTGGCAGGGTTAAATCCCCTTGGCAGGTGTTGCACCACTGCCCAAGCCTGCACAGGAGCTGCTGCTGTGGCCTGGGCGTGCTCTGCTCAGCTCCTGGCTCTTCCCCCACAGGAGGGCTGTGGCCCAGAGGTGTCCTGCTCCTCCCATGCTCAGCCTGATCTCCATCGGGGGACAGCACCAAGGTAGTGTCCCCTGCAGCACCTCCTGGGTGCCTTTTGGGGCTCTTTCCTAAACTTGGATCACTTTCTTACCAATTAAATCGTCCCTTTGTTGCTGGCTGGATCTGGTGATGAGTTTGGCCCAATTAGTGTTTGCTGATTTAATTATCTTGATCTTGCTTAATTGGCAGTGGAAAGGGACTGTCAGCAGCTGGTTTCACTGCCTGGGTAGGATTCCTGCACACCTTGGGATGAGTTATTTTGTGGGGAATTTCTGAAACTGAACCTTCTGGCTCACGAGGGTATTTTACAATCAGCATTTGTCAAGCCAAAGCCCCAGGGAAAGGGAGTTGTGAAAAAGGAATTAAGGAGTGTGGAGTTAAGAGTGGCTGGCAATGAATTGCATATACTCTGCCCTGAGAATCCCACAGCTCCTGGAGTTTGTAGAGGAGAGGGAGGATTTGTAGGGAGCACCCAGCACTCCCCATCCTTATCTGTGCACAGCTCCCGGGGCAGGAGGGCTGTCTGAGGAGCTTGCAGGGCTAAAAGCTGCCTGATTACCTGGCTAACTGCTGCTCCTGCTGTGCAAGAGGTGCTTTTTGTGCAGCAGGAGGGCCCCAGCTGGGCTGATGAGCTGTGTCCTGCCCAGGGGTGTACGGCTTCCCACGCTGCCCCGGGGAGAGCTCCCACCTCTGCGACTGGATCCGAAAAACCCTGGATCTGGGAGCCTACACCAAGGCTGTGCAGGAGCAGTGAGTACATCCCCCAGGCCAGGCCACAGGGGCAGCTCTGCCTTCCCAGGCTGAGCCTTGCTTTGTCCCCTCTGCAGCTTGGTCCAAGCAGAGTATTGGCACGACCCGCTGAAGGAGGAGGACTACAGGAAAAACAGCATTTTCCTGGCTGACATCAATCAGGAGAGGGTAAGGACGCTGCTGACCTGTGGGCAGGACAGCAGGAGCCTGGGAAGGTTGGAGCTGAAGAGTTTCCCTGTCTCTGGGCTCTGCAGTGGCTTGGATGTGTTCTCCTCCTTCCATCCAGGGCATCAACGAGACCTACAAGAAAAACCTGATGGCTCTGAAAAAGTTTGTGATGGTGAAATTCCTCAACGACACCATGGTGGACCCTCCAATCTCTGAGGTGAGAAGGGCAGGGCAGCGTTTGGGGCTTCCTTGTCTCTGGTTTGTCCTTGGCTGGCAGAAGTGGAGGTTGCAGAGGGGCAGGCTGGGCACAAACACAGGCCTGACACTGCCCTGGGAACCTGCTTGGCTCCTGGGAGCCCTTCAGCAGCCAGTCCTTCATTTTTAACCCATTTTTATGCAGTGGTTTGGGTTTTACAAAAGTGGCCAAGCCAAGGAGACCATCCCACTGCAGGAGACCTCACTGTACAAAGAGGTGAGTTCTGGGGGCTTCTGCTGTGTCCCCTCATTATTGTCCCTGGGTCCCACAGCTCTGCTCCTGCCACTCCTGGGGCATTTCCTGCCAGGAAATGCTGTTTGTTTGGGGGGACATTTCCCTCCAGCCATTCCTGGCGCTGGTGGGACCCAGGGGATGACACGGGAGGTTCCTGCCTGGCTCAGGGGGCCCCTCAGTGTTTCATGAGCTCTGCTGCTGTTCCAAGAGTCCCCTGGACTCCCTTTCCCCCTCCTTGAGGAGGAGAGCAGAGGTGGAATCTCGCCCTTCTCCCCACAGGATCGCCTGGGGCTGCAGGAGATGGACAAAGCAGGGAAGTTGGTGTTCCTGGGGGTGAAGGGGGATCACCTGCACTTCTCAGAAGAGTGGTTTGACAGCTCCATCCTGCCCTTCCTCCAGTGAGGCTCCCCTGGAGCCCTGGGCAGGGCTTTTCTCTGACTAACACCAGCCACTGTGCAACAGCACTTGGTGCATCCAAGCCTGCAGGGACCTGGGGAGGGGGTTTGGCTCAGGGGGGTTTGCAGGGTGGAATTCCACTCCCAGCTGGGCTGAGCCTTGCCCTGACCCTGACACACTCCAGGGCCTGGTGAATCCACCCCAGTTCTCAGAGCTGTTCTCCACCCCCTGTTCCTGCAGGGCACGCTGGCAGTATTAACCCAACTCACCACTGCAGGGAGCAGCGAGACGCTCATGGCTGTATGCAGGGCAATCCTGTTACAGCCATGCTTCAGGATGGGGGAAAAGGCCAAATTTAGGGGTTTCTGGGAAAAAAAAAAGGGTTTGGAATTCAGCAGTATTAACAGCTTGAACAGTTTTCAACTAATGGCTTGGTTTATCTTCTTTTGTACAACTGAAATCAATAAAGAACTTGCCATCTAACCAACTAAATAAAAGCTTGGACAACTGCTGACTGTGTTTGGAGGGGAGCTGAGGAAATTCTGGGGAGGTATTCCAAGGAATCAAGGCAGGGGCAGAGGCAGAGAGGGGCACCTTGTCCTGCCTGAGCTCCCCAAAAAGAGACAAGAGCCACAGTAATGAGCAAGTTGGCATTAACTTTATTCTATCTTCTGTATAATCTTAAGTACATAAGAAAGGTTTTTTCACAAGCCTCAGGAGAAGACAAGTACAAGTCACAGGACAGTTTCAAAATAAAAAAAAAAATTGCATAATTTTTTCTTTTTTTTTTTTCTTTTGTAAGTTTTGTACTAGAGAAAAAGAACATTGACACTTTACAGAAGAAATGCATTTAAGATATGCTTATGCCACCCGAGGCGTTGGAAAAATGAAGGTCAAAGCACGTGCAGCTCCCTTTATGGGTCAGTACAGTACTGTGTGATCCATCACTCTGCTCCAGGGCCCTGGAACAGAGGCTACGAGCTTCCACCAAAATAAAGAGCCAAGCAACAGGGGGGAAAAGGGGGAAGGATTCAGTGGGGGCTGATTGCAGTGAGGAAGAGAGTGATGAACCGACTCGATCCAACTCGGGTATTTACAGCTCTGCACTACTGACCTGGAATGGAGGAGCTCCTTCCTCTGGGGAAGGGCACAAAAACCATCCTGGGAGACTGAAGCTGAGTTCAGCTGCTCCAGGAAGGAAGCCCTGGGGCAAAGGTTCCCTTGTGAAGGTGGAGGGCTGATGGAATGAGAGGTGCTCAGCTCCAAGCTAGCAGCCAGGCTGCTGGGTGGCCGTGGTGACAGCGCTGCAGCCTTCCTGTGGCACTGGGGAACGAAAGCCTCCTGTCATGGCACAATCAGGAATGCACTGAGCTAGTGGGAATGATGGAAGAGAAATCAGGGTGGAATTGGCCCAAGTCCTCAGCCTTTGGTCCAAACAAAACCGTTCCCGTGTCCTGTGATGGCACCAGCTGCTCCAGAGGCTGGAATGAGCAGCTTGCAGGAGCTTCCCAGGACTGTGGACTCTGACAGACACCGTTACTCCTTCAAAAGGGGACAACACTCCTCTCACATCAACAGCTTTGCTTAAAGGCAATACGAAAACAACACTCTGAAAGCCAACTGCCAGGACTGGCTGTGAAGCTCACCGAGACTCTGATCGGTTGGTGCAGTTAGATGGGACAAGGGGAGAGAAAAATACACCTTCCTGCTGAGAGAGGTGGACAACCACTGACCCGCCACCTACCCCAAGCCCCAGGCAGAGGAATCTCAGTGATGGCAGGCAGCTGTGTCTCTCGGGTAGAAGAGAAGCAGTTTGAGAGCAGAAAGGTACAAGAAATCTAAGAGAATCATCTGAAAGCAGATTTGTCCCACAGCAGGGCCAGGGGATGAGCCTTGGAGCTTTTCGGCTTAGCCAGCAATTTCTGTCACAGTGGTAACCAACTTCTGACCGTTCCACACTGTCTTGAACTGTTCTGGGACAGGGAATTCAGTCTGGAGGGTAAAAACAGAAAGCCGTTGTCAAAAATCAGTTTATGGCTGACATTAGTAACCACTCCCACTGCTTCAGGCATTTCTTTTCTCAGCTTTGTGCTTTGTGTTGCCTCCTGTACCATCACTGGTGCCTGTTCTGCCCCCAGGAGATCCTGAGGAAGAAGCAGCTCTCACAAACCAGCAATAATCTTATTTACAGATGTTTCTTTGCTGGGTTTTTTTTTAATCAGATCATCATTTACAACCTCCAAACTCTACCCCACTGTAACCAACACTCCCTGTGTCCTTTACCAGGGCTGCAGGGGGATTCCCAAGCAGCACTTACAAAGTCCCCCCCCTCGGTGGGGATGAGCACGTTCATCTCCGAGGACTTGGCACTGACGATCTCGCAGTCGAGGGAGCTCTTGCTCAGGTACACGTGGCACCCATCTGTCTTGTTGATGGAAATTGTTGGCACTTTACCCATGACCTGGCAGGGACAGAGCAGAATTGGGTTAAACTGGACAGCCACAGTATTTTTTGGTGTATTTTCTTTCAAGGCAAGAGGTTTGACTCCAAGCCCTACCCCGTGACGATCGCACAGGATTCAAATATTCCCACACCTTTGGCAAAAATCTAAATTTTGTTTGCAGTTTTCCCCAGTTTCATGTTCTGACCTCTTTAGAGCAAAACTTGAGCCAGCACTGGGCAAAGATGCCCAAACTGAACTGGAATAAATCCCACTGCTGGCCTCCTGCTTTGGCAGCCAAATGTGCTTTCTACCTCACAGAGCCTCAGCTCTTACCCAAACCCTGCAACAGCTCAAAGACATAAATTTCAGCCCTTTCCCAAGGGTGTTTCATGGATATTCTCCACAGCTGCACACTCCTGGTTTGGAATACAACTGCTCCAGGGCCAGGAGGGACAACAGGTCACCCACCTGAACTTTCACATCCCTGCTGTTGATGATCTCTACAATGCCCACCACGTCATCAAACACCAGACCCAGCTTCTTGCAGTTATCTGCAAAGAAAGGCAGATCAGGGCACAGAGATTTTGGAGGCTGCAGCTCCTGCACACACAGCAGCAGGCAGGAGCAGCTTTCAGGGAGCAGCTTTCACCCCACTCACCGAGGGTGATGGAGTTGATCTTGCCCTTGATTTGGAGTGTACTGTTTGTGCACTTGAAAACATATGCTACCTGCTTCAACTCTGTGTCACTGATGACCAGGTTAGTGGCATTCTCCTGGTTTTCCTGAAAAGGCAGTGGAAACACACTTCATTTTCTGAATGCAGAGCAATGAATCCATTAAAACCCCTTTAAAAACAAACAGGTGCCTTCAGGCTGGTGCCTCTTAGGAGAAAGTTCTCCAGAAGAGCCCCCTTTGCTTCTCCAAAGCTCCCATCCCTCCAAACCCACTCCTGCCAGCACCAGGCACTCACCACTCTCCACTTTTTGCCTTCTAATTCTAGCAATGGAGGTGCCTTCGGGGAGGGATTAGAATTACAGGCTGGTTTGGGAGCAGTGAAAGGTTTGGGGCCGCTTCTCACGGGGCCCCCTTGGTTCTTCAGGGCTGGATTCTTGTGGGTTTTCATGTCATCTGAGACGTGCCTTAAGCCTGCAAGAGAAGGCAAAGCTGAGAGCCAGCTCCCTCCAGGAATGCAGCTCCACGAACACCAGACATCAGTGGTTACACCAGTCAAGATAACACTTGTGAAAACACAAATAAACTCCTGAGGCTGGGGTGAGTTGAGCCCAAGTGTGGGTGACAGGAAGGGAAGGAGGAAGCAGGAAATGCTGGTGCAATATTGACAAGAACACAACGTGAACCACAGAACCAGAGTGTGCCAGCTCTTCCACTCTGCAGCTGGAAAAAGCCCCGAGCCCAGCACCTCCTGAACTGATGTGCTCACCAGGCAACACAAAAAAAGGGAAAAATCTGTGCAAACAACACCTGCCAAATTGCAATTTTGTATCAGAATGATGCAGGCAACCAAAGGGCTCAGCCTCAGGTATTTACAGCTGGAAGTTCATGCTTTGAACAATTCTCCCCCAGGAGCGCTCCCTTTGTCCCTGGGAAAGCGCTGCCAGCCCCAGCCTGGGACCAGGTGGGTTTTTATGTGATTTTTAAGCAGGAGCATTGAGGGGCAGCAGGAAAACGAGGAGCAGCAGCACAAGGAGCAGCAGCACAGCAGTCCCTCCCCTCCCTGTGCCCTGACATACCCGAGGTGATCCCTTCTCCCCGGTTGATCTGGGCGAAGAGCGCCGAGCGCGAGGCCGAGTCGTCCGTGCTGGAGCTCACGGGGGCAGGAGGAGGAGGAGGCCCTGGAGGAGGGGGTGCAAGCCCAGCCGGGGGTGCAGGGGGTGCTTTAGCCCCTGCTGTGGCTACAGGACCCTGGAAGAGCAGGGGAGAGGAAAGGCGCTGGCACCGGCTGCGTTGGTGCCGCGGGGAGCTCGGGCTCGCCCCGGGGCTCCCTGTGCAGCCAGCACTCACCGTTTTGCTCCAGGTCAGCCCTGTGGTGTGGTACTCTTTGATGTAGGCCTGCAGCTCTGTCCAGATGCTCAGGTAAGCTTTGACCCAGTCCACTTGTTTTTTATCTCTGAGAACACAAAGAGGAGGAATGAAAGGCCGAGGAAAGCGGCTGTGGTCAGATGCTGGAGCAGCCCCAGCAGTTCAGCAGCGTTCCTGAGAGGAAAGGTGAACTTACACATCCTTGTACTCCTTGAGGATCCGGTTGGTGTAAAACATGGCAGCATCAGTCATTTCCTTCACGTAAGGACCGGGCTTTGGAGCCTAGAGCAGAAAGAACACGTTGGCACTGAGCAGCCCACCAGGGAGATTCTCCAGAGCCCACCTGTGCAAGCACATTTCTCTCCCTCTCAGGATTTTTCATAGAGGTGCACAGAGAGAAATGAAAGAGAAAACAATTAAACAATTTCTATTTCTACTCCTTGTTTTTCCTATGTGGAATGTGTTTGGAGAAGTGTTTCCCTGGGGTGAGTGCTTGGTTGGATTCTGGTGAGGATTGTTTGAGCCTGGTGGCCAATCCAACCCACCCGGGGCTGGGCTCAGAGAGGGTCACAAGTTGTGTTAGAGAAAGTAGTATGTAGTTTTAGTATCTTCCTTTTTATATAGTATATTAATGTATTTTAGCATAGTTATAATAAAGAAATCATTCAGCCCTCTGAATTGAGTCAGACATCAGCATTTCTTCCCATTGGGTTCGCCTGCATTTACAATACCCACCAGACTCCCCAGCAGCCCCAGGAAAACCCCTTCCTGCTGGAAGCAAAGCCCTTACCATGGCCACCCAGCCCAGGGCTGGGATGCTCTCGCTGACTGCTGATAAGTGGTTGAACAGTTTGCTGCCACGGTTCTTCTCCCTGAAATTCTGCACGGCCTGGATCTGCTCCGAGATGGGCTTGAGGAGCTCTGAGAACACGTTCTGCACAACAACACACAGGGACAGCAACAATCAGGGAGATTAATTAGCAGGGCTCTGGAATGGCTGCACAGCTGAGGTGATGCTGACTCGGAACAAGATTCCAACTGGCACCAGTGACTGCTACAGCTCCTGTCCAGGCTTGGCTCGCTCCAAACCAGGCTTGGTCCCACAGCCCAGCTCCTCCGGGGCTGAAGTCATTGCTCCCATCGGATCGGCACCGTGGGAGAACGCCAAGAACTGTGACTCATGTTCAATCCAGGAGACACTGACAAAGCTTGTTAGTAACCAGGACAGAAATAGCATTTGCCTTTCCTGGGTTCTTTTGTTCCAACACAGTTTGTTCAGTTTTTCCTCTCCTCCACGAACCCTCGGAGGAAGGGGTGCTGGGCAGGTTTGGCTCTCACAGCCCACCCCACAACCAGAGTCTTAGCAAGCTCAAAGCTCACACCCATCAAGCCAGACTTGAGGATTCCAGTTATTTCCTAAGTCAATCCTTTAGTATTTGGATGGTAAAATTTTGCTCCTGTGTGCTGTTCCCTTGGAATGCTGACTGGAAGTGCCAGAAGTGCTCTGGGGTCAGAGCACAGCAAAGAGCCAATTCCATGTTTCCAGAGATGCCTCTGAGGCAACTTTTCCATCCTTTAGCATCGGGGAGTCTCCTGCTGGTGGCAGCAGAGAGGGACAAATTTGGGCAAAACTTGCTTTCCAAAGCCTCAGCTTCTGCTTTTGCTGCTCTTTCCTCTGTTTAGATGAAAACTGAGAGGTCCCAAGCACCACTGGCCAGGCCACACTTTCAGAAGCTCCAGCCCAGCAGCACATTCCAGTCACAGGATGGGGAAATTCTTCAGCACAAGCACTGAGAGTTCACACATTTTGCATTTTAAACTGGCTGCTCCAGAATTAGACTCCTGCCAGACAACCTGCACAAAGAACTACCCTAGATTAGGGCTGTTCTTTGTTCATAATCCTTTATTTAAATAATGTGTCCGTGGGATTTGTAAGCAGATTCTCAGGCTAGAGGCTGCACAGAGCTGCACCCCAGCAAGCCTGGTGGAACATAACAACCCTGCAACCCTGCTGATTTTGGGGAAAAAGATGCAGATCTATTTTGCAATGAATAGGGAAGGAGCACAGAAATCCAGCTCCCACAATGTAACAGCAGAAGCCACGACTGAGTGAGATAATAACTGCAAAGAAAAGCAAGGTGGGATCCTGTTGCTCGGGAAAAACAGCTCTCAGCAGGGAAAAGCCAACGCATTCAGGATCAGATTCTCAGCCACACATCCTGCTGAGAAGCAGCAGCCCAGGGTAAAGTGTTAAATTACCTTCTAAGGACAAATCAATCCTAAAAGCCCAGCCATTATTCAGAGGCCATTCAGTAGATACAAGTGTCTGCTCTGCTCCTGGAGGAGTTTGATGCCTGAAAGTCTCTGAGCATCACATAATGAAAAGCAGGAGCTACAGAAATCCCAGAGTGGCTCCTGGCTCAGACAAGATCCTGTCTGCAGCTTCTCAGGGAGCACTGATTGAGCAGAGCTGGTGCCAGGTGAAACTGGAGACAGAGGCTGTGAGCTGACAGCCCCGGGGCTGCTCTGACAGCTCCACAACACTGGCTGCTGTAAAAACAGGGAAACGCCAGTTCTGCAGCTCCCACAGCTACTGGGGAGCACCCAGAACACTTCATGCCTTCAGCAAGTGTCCCCAGTCCTCCTCCAGTGTAAAAGATTTGAGAAAGTGCAAAAAGGCCTCAGAAAGTAAACATAAAGCTAAGGAAAGCTGGGAAATTTCAAAACCTTCTCATGGGAAGCTAGGAAGTTAAGAACCAAGTGACTAAATTTATATTTATCATAAGGAACAAGAAAGAACAAGAACTTACTGATATTTCAAGATGTGAAAAGTCCTAGATATATGCTTTGCAAAGATAGAAAAGTTCCCCCAACACTTGCAGCCACCCCTGACCCTGAAGGCAGAGGTTTCTGCTCAGGGATTTCCCACACTCACCTCTGCTGGCTGCTGATGCTGAGATGCCACCACCAGAAGAGCCCTCTCGCTCATCAAGCCTTCATGGACCATCTCAGCCTAAGGACAGACACAAACTTGAGGGAGATTCCCTTGTGCCACACCAACAAATCATCCCACAGCGACCCCAAAGCACGTTCCTGGAGGAAGCCATCCCCAGAGGAACCTCACCAGGGTGTCACAGCCCAGGGCTGGGGAGTTTTCAGGCCTCCTAAAGGCCTGCCCCAAGGTCTGTACACAGCCAGGCACTTAAGGGATTCCAGGAGAAGGTTTGATTTGTCCTGAGGGTGGAGGTGGCAAGCTGGAGGTTATGTGGGCATCTGCTTTGAATCCTCAGGGATTATAAAGATCCTGGGGTACAGTGCCAGAGGAATGCAGACTCTGACAGGAAGTTTGGCCCTTCCAGCCCTGAGGACAGGCAGCACCTCCAGAGCAGAGGGAGAACAGGAATCCTTACGTGCTTCTGCACATCCCCACCAACTTCTCTGCTGATCTTGGTGAACTCGGCCACCGGCCCGGCCAGAAGGGCATCGAAAGCCTGCACGTACTGAGCCACTCCTGTGGAAAAAACCAGAGCACAGGAATCACCAGCAGCACCCCACAGGCTGCCACAGCCCTGGGCTGCACCTCCCACCTGCAGGAGGCTGAGCCTGGAGCTGGGGAAGTGCTGCAGCCACAGAGATTTTATCCCCACGGGGCAGCCCCCTCCAGCCTGGCTCCCCCAGAGCTCTGCACGGCTGCTGGCACTGCCCTGGGCCTCACCTTTGGCAGGGGCATCTCCACACATGCCAGGGCCTTGGCACACGGTCTCCAGGCGCTCCACAGCCTTCTCCAACCGCTCCACCAGCCTCTCCATGTCTGCTGCTGTCCACAGCCTGCACGGACAGGAGACAATTACCTCCATCCCCAGGTGCCACAGAGGGTTTATGGCTGTCTGGTACGAGCTCTACCAGTTCCAGGAGAATCTTTCCTGGCCAGCTCTGCACCCTGAGGACGGCCAGCAGGGCACCCTCACATTAGCCAAGACAGACGGGTCACACAGCAGCCTCTTGCTGTTGCCACACTCGCTCCTTAATAGTTTCTATTCTGTTTTAAGGACTCCTTACATGTGTAAAGGACATAAAATTTGACCTTCTAACCTCGTAGTGACACCACTCAGGGACACAAAGGTCTGCCCAGGTTCTCACTGCAGTCAGGTTCTGGCCAAAGTCCCAGCTGTGACCACACAGCTCAGCTACTCTGCTGAGAGCTCACACACTGCCGGTGAAAACTACCGGGTTTGAATCTCTGGAAGGACCTCCTGGAGTCCTGAATTGCTTCCAGGAGCATCTGTAAGGCCAGCACTGCTCCAGCACAGAGCCTGAACCACCCTGGCACACGCCAAGGGGAGCAGCTGCACGAGCTGAGGCGGCAGAGCTGCCTCTGCAACAACAGCCCCTGTTCTTCCTCTGCAGCTCCGGTGGCTGCAGAACCTCCTCTGCAGCCACCGCACCGGAAAGAGACTCAGGCACAAAAGCCATTTGCTGCATGTCATCTGGAAAAAGTCTTAGAAGTCACATAAACTTTCCATTAATTACTGCTTTGCACCAAGCAGCAAGACAGGTCACGCTCCCAGCAGAGTAACGCCCAGGGAATGCGGGGAGGGAGCAGCAAAGTCACCAAAGGCATTTTTATCTTATCACCACTCATCAAAAGATTTTACAGCATGAATCACGATGGTGGCTGGACACAGCTTCCTTCTGAAGGGGTTGCTGCAGCCTGCAGAAGCTCAATTCCTGTCTGGAGGAGGGGGTCAGTCCCAAAACACCCCCTAGAACGCTCCAGGAGGAAGGCAGGGTTTACTCAGCTGAACTGACACTGGATCCCCTCTGAGAGGAAACCTCAAGTTTTGCTTTTATTCACAAGCCCTCTCAGCCCTGCTGCTTCAAAGTGCACGCTTTCACCTCATTTCCAGAGGATGTGGGGCAGGTCCAGCATTAGTCACGAGCCCAGCACTGATGTCACAAGGCAAACAAGGCCTTTTTTCAGCCCTTTTCTGCCTGCTTGCAGCAGGACAGGCAGCTCGGAGAGGCCACCCCTCCTTCCAGGAGGAAGAGAAGCGGTTTCCTCCTGTCCACGCTGAGCCAGGGCACAGAAACCCGACAGAGCGACTTGAGGGCTCCCAGATACCCACCCAAAATGAGAGTCCAGAGAAGCTGGAACTCCACTGCAGTCCCCCCTGCATTCACAGTGACAAACAGCCCTGCTTCTTTCATTCTGAGCCCTGCAGAAAAGCCCCACCGTGGCCAGCAGGGAGCCGTGCTGGCTCTGCCGCCCCCGCTGCCAGCAGCTCCCAAACGGGGCTTCTGCCCCCAAAAAGGCACCTGCTGGGGTGGCTGTGCCCCTAAAAACAGCCATCTGCTAGGGTGGCTGTGACCCTAAAAGAAGCCATCTGCTAGGGTGGCTGTGCCCCCCAAAATCCATCTGTTATGGTGGCTGTGCCCCTAAAAAAAGCCACCTACTCAGGTGGCTGTGCTCCCCAAAAAAAGTCACCTGCTCAGGTGGCTGTGCCCCCCAAAAAAGCCACCTGCTGGGGTGGCTGTGCTCCCAAAAAAAGTCACCTGCTCACATGGCTGTGCCCCCCAAAAAAGTCATCTGCTCATGTGGCTGTGCTCCCCCACAAAAAAGCCACCTGCTGGGGTGGCTGTGCTCCCCAAAAAAGTCACCTGCTCACATGGCTGTGCTCCCCAAAAAAGTCATCTGCTCACATGGCTGTGCCCCCCAGAAAAGTCACCTGCTGGGGTGGCTGTGCCCCTAAAAACAGCCATGTGCTAGGGTGGCTGTGCCCCCCAAAATCCATCTGTTATGGTGGCTGTGCCCCTGAAAAAAAACACCTACTCAGGTGGCTGTGCTCCCAAAAAAAGTCACCTGTTAGGGTGGCTGTGACATGCTCAGAGAGGGATGTGGCACAGGGACAGGACAGGGGGACGTGGCACAGGGACAGGACAGGGGGGATGTGGCACGGGGACAGGACAGGGGGGATGTGGCACAGGGACAGGACAGGGGGGATGTGGCACAGGAGAAGGACAGGGGGGATGTGGCACAGGGACAGGACAGGGGGATGTGGCACAGGAGAAGGACAGGGGGGATGTGGCACAGGAGAAGGACAGGGGGATGTGGCACAGGGACAGGACAGGAGCACACAGAGCCCCACAGCACATTCCTGGCCAGGCTCTAATCCGATCAGCCCCGGCAAACCGCAGCTGGGATCGGGATTACCCAGCACAAAGTCCAGCTGGAAAGCTGCTTCCCACCCCCAGCAGCAAAGGAGCACATCCCCTGAGCTCCGGGTGGGATCAAGGTGCCAAAATACCCAGTGCCATCCTTGGCATTCCTCCCTCTCTCTGCCATTTGACAAGTCCTGCCTTGTTTTCCCTGCTCCCATGGCTCTGCAAACCTGCTGCTGTCTGGCAGATGGTGAACTCCTTTTAATTTCCTTTTAATGGGTGGCATTAGGGCAATTTACACAATAAGTCAGTTGGTAAATTGGCAGCAAAATCAGAGCTAAGTGCAGGCAACCCAAAGTCCTGGATCTCAGGGCCTTTCCTCCTGACTCACCCTCCCTGTGCTCTTTGCCCTGTGGATGCAGCTATTTGTGCTGCCTGGATACCCACACGGAGAAATAAAAAGATTGAGTTGTAAATAAATCAGATATTGTAACCCAGAGATTAACATTCAGCAAGGAAAATAAAAACAACCAGCCTGGACTGGACCTAGACAGTGTTTTGTCTACTGGCCTGTTAGAATGTAAAATAATTCCACAAAAAGTGACAAATCGACTTCACAGGTCTCAGTGCAAACAATCAGGTGTCAGTGCAAACAATCAGGGGTCTTTCCCTTCTCTGAAGAGACACACAGACCATACAGGGGCTTTTTTTTTGTTGTTTCTACAGATCATCCTGCAGTAATTTCTGCTCTGTGCTCCAGAGGGATGAGGGAGACTTTTCCAGCTCCCTGTGCAGGGTTGGAGATGCAGCTCTCCCTTCCAGGACCACACCACAGGATTTAAATCTTGTTCAAATCCAATTGAACTTTGATTAGCAGTGGAGCGGAAGCAGCAAACACGGCTTCACCCAGGGCCAGAGGGGCCATTCCTTTTTTCACAGCACATTTATTCATCTATCAACTGCCCTTTATTCCCATCACAGCCTGGGAACACGGCTCTGGACACGCTGTGCCACAAACAGGCACAGAGCAATAAAAGGAAGGGATTTTATTGGTGAAAACATCAATTTAGCCAAACCCTGCACATCCCAGCAAGAGCAGCTTCCTGTTTGGGCAACATCCAGGAGCTGCCCCAGCCTCAGAGTGAGCAAATTCTCAGAAAACCCACCAAAATTGAAATCATTTGCTTGCCTGAGACAGCACCTTAACCTGAGCCCTTTCTCAGACGTTCTGGAAGACACAAATGGTGTTTTTATAGCCAAAGCGAGTCAAACCTACGCTTGTGCTCACAGCCAGCCCGCCACACTGCTGTCAGCAACCACGGAATTTGCATCAGCTACTTCCTGTTTCTACAGGCAAAAGAAATAAAGATGGGACAACTAAATTAGGAACATACCACAGTTTATTTCTGAGCTGACACTGGAATATCTCAGGGGATCAGCTACCAGATGATTTCCAACATTTATATCTGCCAAAAGCCCAAAGAAAAAAAATTTTTTTTTTTTTTTAAACAGTTCAGCTCCTCAAGGCAGGAATGGTTTGAAGGAAGGCAGGAGTCAAATGCCTGAATTTAGCCAGTGGTCAGGAGCAGCCATGAACACAAGACAGCTATTGCTGGTCCCAGCAGCTGCCAGGACAGAGATCTCAGCTGTTTATAGCCCAACAATACTTGCTGACATTGTGCCAGAACCCGTGCTGGCTGCTATTCCACATCCACTTTATTTAGAAAACCAAGAGTGCTTTAAAACAAGAAGAAAAAAAATCCCTCTGGCTCCCGTTCCAGCTTTCCCACACAACAGATCCTCCCGAAGCCATTAAAAATGTTATTTGGTGTTTTACTCGCAGGTTAAGAGGGGGTTAAAGCTCAGCACTGGAGCAAAGGCTCCTTTTCTCCTTTTTCAGCACAATTCTGTGAATGAGGAGGTGTGTGCAGGGAGGTAACACGGAGGTGGGATCTGAGCTAGGCTGGATTTCAGCAATTCCGAGCGTGGAAACTGCTCAGCATCCCTCCCGTGCCCGCTCCAGCACCAGCACGGGCCGCTTGGCTGAACTTTCTGCACAAATAATTGGGGTATTTTTGGATTTCAGAGAGCTCAGCAATATTCCAGGGACACAAGGCTGGCCTCTGGAAGAGAACGGGCACACGCAGCAATGTCCTGATGCCACAGATCCCTGATTTATTTTCAGGGCATCTGGGGGATCCCAAAACAAGCCCTGAAATGGATATTTTCCACTCTGCTGTCACGGAATGCGATGGAACCAGAGACAGGCGGAGGGCAGGAGCCACCCCGGGGCGACGGGGACACGGAACCGGGGCGTGGAGCACGACAATCCCCGGGGCGATGGGGACAGAACCGGGCTGTGCAGCACGACAATCCCCGCTCCAGGCTGCGCCACAGCGGGGACAAACCCGGATAAACCGCCCGGCGACCCCTGCCCGTCCCGGTAACCGGGGCAGCCCCGGTCCCGATCCCGGTGCCCGCTCATTCTCGCCCCCAGATCTGGCCGTGTCCCGGTGCCGGTGCCGCTCCCTCCCACCCTGGATCCCGCCCGTGCCCGGTGCCGCTCACCCCGCGCCGCCGCCACTCCCAGCCGTTCCCGGTACCGGTGCCGGTCACTCCCGCCCTGGAAGCCGGTGCCTTTCAGTCCCACCCTGTATCCCCGGCCGTTCCCGGTGCCGTGCCCGGTCCGCTCCATCCCACCCTGTATCGCCGGCCGTTCCCGGTGCCGTTCCCGGTGCCGCTCACCCCGGTTCCCGGTGCCGTTCCCGGTGCCGCTCACCCTGGATCACGGCCGTTCCCGGTGCCGCTCACCCCGGATCACGGCCGTTCCCGGTGCCGCTCACCCCGGATCCCGGTGCCGTTCCCGGTGCCGATCCCGGTGCCGCTCACCCCGGATCCCGGTGCCGTTCCCGGTGCCGCTCACCCCGGACCCCGGTGCCGTTCCCGGTGCCGTTCCCGGTGCCGCTCACCCCGGTTCCCGGTGCCGTTCCCGGTGCCGCTCACCCCGGATCCCGGTGCCGTTCCCGGTGCCGCTCACCCCGGATCCCGGTGCCCTTCCCGGTGCCGCTCACCCCGGATCCCGGTGCCGTTCCCGGTGCCGTTCCCGGTGCCGCTCACCCCGCCCGCCGCTCCCGGCCGTGCCCAGCCCCGCCGCGCCCGCCGCTTCCGGCCCCCGCCCCGCGCGCCGGATGTGCGCACGGCGCGCGCGGCGAGGGGCGGGGCTTCGGGACAGCCGCCGCGCGATTGGCGGGCGGCGATGGAGGCGTGGCCAAAGCGCTGGAGGGACGGGGCGAAGGGGCGGGGCTTCGATGCGGATGGCGCGCTGCGATTGGCGGATTGAATTAAAGGCGTGGCCTGTGCCTGCGGTGGGCGGGGTCGTGGGCGGGGTCTCGGTTGTGGGCGGGGCCAAGGGGCGGGATGGGGCCCGGGACCCCCGGGGGGATTCGGGACCCCCGGAGGGGCTGGGGGGGCTCCGGGACCCCCGGATGGGTCACACAGAGGGGCTGAGGGGGTCCCGGGACCCCCGCGGGGTCACACAGAGGGGCTGGGGGGGCCCCGGGACCCCCGGATGGGTCACACAGAGGGGCTGGGGGGCCCCGGGACCCCCGCCGGGTCACACAGAGGGGCTGGGGGGGCTCCGGGACCCCCGGATGGGTCACACAGAGGGGCTGGGGGGGCCCCGGGACCCCCGGGGGGTCACACAGAGGGGCTGGGGGGGCTCCGGGACCCCCGGATGGGTCACACAGAGGGGCTGGGGGGGCCCCGGGACCCCCGGGGGGGTCACACAGAGGGGCTGGGGGGCTTTGAGAGCCCCAGCAGGGCCAGCTGGGACCCCCCCCGGGGTGGGCTATTGGGGTAGGGGGTCCTCAGGAGGTCTAGGACCCCCGAAAGGGGTTAGGAGGGCTTTGGGTTGAAGCCGGAGCCTCCGGGAGAGGGGCAAAGCTGAAGGTTGGGGTCTTGAGATGCCGCCAGGGTGGGGTTAGGGCGGAGGAGACCCCCTTGGGGAGGGTCTGTACCTCTCCTGCAGCGGCGGGGCTTGTTCGGGAGTGGGGGTGGCCTCTGCTGGGGCTGGGACACTGTCCCGGTGAGGAACGGGACACTGTCCCGGGAATGGCTGGGACACTGTCCCGGTGAGGAACGGGACACTGTCCCGGGAATGGCTGGGACACTCCCGGGAGGGAACGGGACGCTAACGGCCGGGACACGTTGTCAGGCGGGGAGGAGGAGGAGGAGGAGGAGGAGGAGGAGGAGAAGCCCCGGGCGGCGCTTCCTGCCCGGCTGCGCTACCAAAGATGGGCACGGCGGGTTGCGAGGCGCGGCGGGGCTCTGCTGACACCTAGCGCGGTCTCCGGTATCCCAACCCCCGGGGCTCCCCGGCATCCCAACCTCCGGGGCTCCCCGGTATCCGAACCTCCGGGGCGCCCCGGTATCCCAACCCCCGGGGCTCCCCGGCATCCCAACCTCCGGGGTTCTCCGGTATCCCGACCCTCCGGGGCTCCCCGGTATCCCAACCCCCGGGGCTCCCCGGTATCCGAACCCCCGGGGCTCCGGTATCCCGACCTCCGGGGCTCCGGTATCCCAACCCCCGGGGCTCCCCGGCATCCCAACCCCGGGGCTCTGAGCTCCGGTCCGGGACATCCCGACCCTCCGGGACTCTCAGCTCCCCGCCGGTAGCCCGTGCGGACCGGTAACACCCCCCAGCTCACCGGTAACACCCATTCCCCGTTCCCCCCGGAGCATCCCCGCACCATCAGACGTGATGCAAAATTAGAAAAATAAGGCATTTTAGAAAAAAAAGTCATTGTAGGGAAGAACCAGCCAGGTCCTGCCTCAGCAGAGCAGGGCAGGGGGAATCCATGTGGGCAGCAGCCATGGGGAGAGGAAGGAGAAATCCCAGAAAAAAGGGGAGAGGAACAAAAAGTAACCTGAGAATGGGCAAGAGGAGAGCAGGGCTGCCCAGGAGCCGCGGTGTTTGCTCCTGGGGTGGGTCTGAGTGCAGTTCCTGGAGGAATAAAAATCGAATTCCTGGTAGGGCTGGGTGTGTTTGCAGTCTGGAGAGTCAGTGACCTGACCTGCTCCATCCCTGCCCCGTGTCTGCTGCCTCATCCCCCTTTTCTGCAAGCACAGGGGGAATATTTGCTTCGTGTTTCAGCTGTGTTTTGTCTAAAATGTCTCTGTGCCACTCAGCCAGCAGCTTTTGGGTTTTTGCAGCCACTTGTCCCTTGTGGTGGGGTGAGGGGGGCACTGCAGCCTAGTTCCATTCCTGGGAAAATGGGTTTATGTTGGGTTTGTTTGGTTTTTATTTCAGTGGAAAACCACGTCACTGCCCCACCATTTCTGTCCCTGTGCAGCAGCCCTGGGGCTGCTAACAAACTTGGCAACAGCTGCTTCTGCAAAATATTAACCAAAGCCCACCAAAAGCACATCAGCCTGTGTTTGCAGACGGCAAGAGTGAGGTCAGCCTGGTGGCACAGACAGGGGACAGCTGTGACACCCATCCTGCACAGCTGGCCTGGGTTAACTCTGCTGTCCCCAGGTGGTGACAGAGCCCAGCCCTGCTCCAGATCCTGCAGCTCCTTCCCAGGCTGAGCCAACTTCCAGCTGGATCTGCCTCCCTGGGGACCCTGGGGTGTTGTTCCCTTCCTGTGGGAACCTGAGCTTGGTTCAGCTTCAGGTGTTTGAAGCCATCTCTGGGCGATTCCTGCTGCTCCTGGCTCCTTCCAACCCAGGGAAATCCATCCTCAGCACTGCAATGTTTCACAAACCCTGCTGCCAGATAAACCCGAGCCTTTTTGCCCTTTCCCTGCTGATGAGGAGGGGGTTTATTCCTCACCCTCTGCAAGGAAAGACTCTCCACACTTCCACTTTTTCCCTGCAGGATAAACAGACTCAGCCTGGCTGCTGTCACCTCTGGAATTGTCCCTGCTTGAGCCACTGCAGTCCTGCCCCTTGGAGCCAGAGGATGGAGTCCTGCAGGTTGATGTGCTGCCTTCTGTTGGTTGGATTTTGTCCCCTTTGCAGTCAGCAGACCAGAAGCCCTCTGCTCCCCTCCTGTGGGACCCCTCAGCTGGGATTCAGGGCTGATCCCCAGCCCTGGCAGCTGCTCCTGACAGGCACAGCCCAGCTCTGCAGGGAGGTGCTTCCCAGCACTTGGCTGCATTTTTCCACATCCAAGGTGTGTGTGGATTAAGCCAGAGCACAGCTGTAGGTACAGGCAACACCTCCCTGTGCGTTTTTGTTTTTTGTTTTTTTTTTTTTGCCACCCATTTCTTCTCCATGCTTGGAGTGAAACCCTGTGTAAGCAAACTGCAGCACAATCCCTGCTCCCAGGCTGGAGCTCTGCCCAGGGCTCGATGTTAGCAGCTCTCAGGGTCACTTTCCCCCCACACATCTCATTTTCTTTAAAGCCTCAAACACGGGAGGCATGCTTAGTGAGGAATATCCAGCCCCCAGTTCAAGCTCCTCTGGATGGTTTTAGTCTCTTGGGCTGGCTGCAAAAAAAAACCCCAGAGACTCTTCTTTGTGAACTCCACAGAGCCAAAAAAACAAGGAGGCAAAGAATAAAGTGTCCCTTATTTCTGTTGAAACTCTCTGAGAAAAAGCCTTGGAGGCAGCAGCACTGCCCACACCCCTCAGAGGCAGCCAGGTCGTGGCCATGGCTGGGATAACTCCTGGCCAGGAGCAGTGCAGGGGTCAGAACATTCCCAACAACCCCAAGCTCTGTGTTGGCTGGAGCCTTCCTCCTCCTCCTCCTCTTCCTCTTGCAGAGGGTTCTCCTGACCCCCAAGTGTCCCACCACAGGGGCTGCAGAGAGCGTTGGCGTCCTGCCCTCAGGAGCTGTTTTTGAGCACAAAACCAGCTCCCATCCCATCCCATCCCCATCCCCATCCCATCCCCATCCCCATCCCACTTTCCCTGGCCACAGGGGCAGAGTGGGGCCCGCTGGAGCATTCCCAGCTGATCCCCCTGGCTATTTTTAAACCCCATCCTCATTCCTGTCCTTTGTACCCAAATGTGGCACAAAGGATGAGCCACATCCATCCCCCCAAGCCCCCCACTCTCAGCTCAACCAAAGGCAGCAGCCCTGTCCCCTGCTGCCGTGGCCTTGGGGATTGGGAACTCACCCCATCCATGGGGGTGGCTGCTCCCAGCCCCTTTTCTCCAGCCCCACTTGCTGCTGGAGGCATTGGGGAGGGCAGGGCTCTGCCCCTTTGTGCTGTGGGAGCAGGGAATGTGAGTGGGGGTATAAATATCCAGGGAGATTAGTGCTCCCGAGCACCCTGCCCCGGCAGCCAGGCTGAGTGTCACCCACAGCCCACATTCCCTTTCTCCCCGCTCCCCAGCTGCCTCTCCTGTTTCCAGCCTCGAGTTCACCATCTCTGCTGGCAGCACTTTGATTTCATTCCTCCCTCCACCCCCTCCCCGCTCCCCTCTTGAACAGGAGGGAATAATGGAGCCTTTGTTGGGTGGCTGCGACACAGGCACGGAGCAAGGGGGCAAGGGGCTGAGCACAGCCTCCTGCCTGGATTATGGCATTCCTGCACCACAGCTCAGGAAAAGTCAATCCTGCACCCCGTGGTGTCTAAAGGGACCCAGGGCTCGCTGACAGCCGTGAAAAATCCCAGATGAGTGGGAAAAAAAAAACCTCTTCACGCCCGCTGCCGACTTCCCCCACTTTTATGTAAATTAATATTATCAGGTCCTCGGGTTTGGGCTCTGTACAGATATATACAAACAGGAAACAGCTCCATATTTACATCATTAAGTTAATTAGGCTCTGTAAAATAAGCACAGGTCCCACATTAGTGCCCTCTGTAGAGACAGCAGAGGTGAGCTCACGTCCTGGGCGCGGGCACACTGACAGTGTAATGTACACTAACCATCACCCCCAGGCAGGACACTGGGCACAGCTGATCCAGGCAAAACCATGCCAGGCCGGCCTTCCCTGCCCTCCAGAGCCCGGCAGGGAGATGCTGGTCCCTGCTGGGGCAGCACCATGTGTGTAATGTACACTACAGCGCTCTGTGGGCCCCGTGCAAGGCACGGGACGGGCACAGACCCCGAGTTCGAGGCAGTGGATGCTCCCCACGGCTCCTCCAGCACCTGCAGTGGCACCAGGCTGTGCCAGCCCGGAGGGGACGAGCCCCTGGCGA